TTGATGGATACTTCGGTCAAAGCTTCGTGACACTCTAGTACTAACCCTGAATAAATTCGTGGTCTGTTTAGGGTGAGTAGTGCTTGTCTGCGATCTGTATAGATGAGAATATTCCTACCAATGATATTGTTTCTGGTGATTTCTTTTGCTGCTATGATAATCCCCATTAGCTCTGTTTGAACTACACTGGCACTATTGCTCACAGCCCATTTTATATTTAGGTTTAAGAATCTGGAGCATATTCCACATCCTGAGCCTTGTTTTGTTTTAGAAACATAGGTGTAAATATGAATCGCACTTGTAATGTTTCGACCCTGTACTTTAATATTATGATTTAATAAAACCTTGTCCAACTACACGTTTTATTGAATCTATGTTTAGCGCGCCTGCCCTTGGACAAAACTTTACAAATAATAACATACCTATTCACAGGGTGTTATATTAATTCGTAACAATATCAAAGGGAATGAGACCCATGGCTCTGGTCGGTTTTGTTTTCATGGCTCCTGTTATGTTGAGACATGCTGTTCTTTGAATTTGTTCTAGTTTACGGATAGCTGTTATTTTTTGAGTGTTCGGTACCCAAACAACTGCACCGTATGTTAGCATAGGTCTTATGATTGCCGTGCAAGTCCATGCGACGACTCTTAGGAAGAAACCCCAGGTGCGTCCCATGGTTCGGCGGCATTGTTCATAAGTAATCTATACTCTTTTGACTCTGTTTTCTAAATGCGTGTTCCATATTAACTTGCTGTCAAAAGTGAGATCTAGGTACTTCACCTTTGTTGCAAAGTTTAGTTCTGTGTTTAGGAGTTCTCGAGGTTTTAATTCCATTTTCATCATTTTCCTTGTGAAAAGGACCATCTCTGTCTTTTAGGATTAATAGACAGTGAATGGTCACCACTGTTCTATAATTTTTAGAGTCTTTCGCAGAGTATTTTCTCAAATAGCACATCTTCTACACTTATCTTTGTCATATATCATTAGTTGTCAGTTGTGAAAGGCTTACGGTCGAAGTGCCTGTATCAATTATTACTATACTCTGTTTTTAATCTAAGAGGAGCGATTTGAATTTAAGTTGGCAATTCTGTAGCCTTCTGATTGGTCAGATTACAGTCAGTTTCACACATTACTTTTTAGCATTAACATCAGCTAATAAACGATATTGTTGACAGTTCTGACATTTTATAATTTGATATCTCATCCATTACTTAGTTTTTTACTTTATTTCGTAAATAATAGTTCTTCAGTAAGCAATTGTATTGAAAATCTACAATTATGGATCCTTCTACACTGAGTACTATTAAAGGTAGCAATTCCTGAAAAGCCTTTCAAGAAAGGGAAGACACCTTATTATTTTACATGCTGATTCTGAAGGTTTTGTAGAAAATGCATTATTGGTTTTTGAAGGTAAAAAGACGGGAGATTACCATGAAGAGATGAATTCCGAAGTATTTTAGAAAAAAATAATTTTATTACTGATTTTTTAAAACTAAAAATTGATGAATTTCTAACCAAAATGATTAAAATGTAACTAAATATTCAAGCAAAATTTATTTATTAGAATAGAATAAAACTACAAAATTGTTATAACATTTAAAACAACATCTACTACTTTAGGGATAAGCTTAATTTGGCACAATGAGTTAACATTACTTTCACAAATAATATTTTAAAAATACTTAAAATTAATACATAGGTATGTATGAATAGTTCACTTTAAAAAATATATGTTGACATGTAGGTTATGAATATAGAAGTTCTTGTGCAGTGGTTTATTATATATATTATATTTTATAATAGAATAAAGATTTATACTTGACAAGTTACTTTTTTATCATTGTCAAACTTACAGATCAATAAATATATATACAGGGTCTGCACAATCTTAAAAATGAAAATTTTGGTTCCAGTTTTCAAAACAAATTCTGACTCATAGGCCTGTAAATTTTTGAATGCCTTTATTTGCCCTCTAGCGCATTAACCATGGGTTAACACTAAATAAGCCATAATATCTACATTAATCATAGAAGAGATACCAGTTACTGTGTGATCCACTTGTCATTCACTGATTAACTTTTACTTTTTATACCTATAACAAATATATCCTTAAAAATGTAAACATATCTTTATATTTTATACTAACCTGGCTACATCTGGATATTCTATTAACAATTTTCTTAAATATTTAATATCCATTTTAAAAAGATCATAGTTATTCTCAAAATGTCGATTTCAAAAGCAAGAAAAAAGTATTTCTGACATCAATCAATAACCATATTGACTTTAATTTGACAGTGACATTTCGTTTTAGACACACATTTCAGATCACAATAATGTGAAATTTGCGACCGTTGTCTGGGACCAATTAAAAAATTACTTTTATGACATTTATTCGTTTCTTAACCGCTCATTGGCCTTTCACCGACTAAGGCTGATAAAGATAATTATTTCATAAATTTTGAACACGACTATATTTCGAAACTCGCTCTTAGTAACAAATCTAGTTACTTTTCCCTGTGTAAATGCGTCTTTTCAATTCGCTCCTCCTAGTTTAAAAACAGTTGTAGTATATTAAATAAAACCTTTCAACGCAGTGCCTGTATCAATTGACAACTAATGATATATGACAATCTTTACTGCTCGCTTTGAGAGCATGTTATGTATCCACCCACTCACTAACCATCTGTGGAACATTCCTGTTGGGTAATGAGTGTATTATCTTGAAAAAGGTGGTTTTGTCAAAAGCACTTTCTAAGTCTATGAAAACACCTAAGGCGTGCCTACTTCTTTATTGTCCTTCAAGGGCTCTTAGTCGCCAAAGTAGGATACTAGAAGAACTTTCACAAGGAATAAGTAAATAAACTTAACCTGCTATAACTTAGGCCAAGGCCGCCGAGAGCCATAGTGGGGCCCAGGGACAAAAACACTAGCAAGGGTCCCTTATATAACTAGGCTTGGCAGATTTGCAGAAAACAGCGAGGCGTTTGTATAAAATATCAAGTTCTTTCTGTGTTAAATTTCTAAAAAAAGGTCTTCAGCAAAATCAGGTACTTTCTTAATGAAATCTAAAAAAAGGTATTTTTCGTAAACCAGGTCCTCCCTTTTGTGGCGAACTTCAAACAAAAGCCCTCAGCTGCTAAAGCTGCCGAGCCCCCTTGTGCCCGGGTCCCGGGGATTTTGCCCCCCTGTCCCTCATCTCGTCGGACCTAACTTAGGCCCTATTTGATAATATAAGTCCAAACTTTTCTTGATAATTTTATTTTGAAATATTAATTTTAGTCCTATATTTTTGCAGATATTTTGTTCACATAAAACACAACACCGCTTTTAGCTAAAACCAGCCAGAACGATGATCTTTGTCATATGTGTGTCTAACAAGAGAAACGAAAATAGTGATAATGGATATTAATGAATAATATTTTACTATAAATTTTACAATTCCTCTACCTGCCCGTCTTGCAGGCATTTGCCGGCGCCGATCCAGCTCTGTATCTGTATCTGAAACCTGTGGAGGGTAGGTTACCCTTATTAAAGATCTAGTGGAGACTTCAGATTCTGGTGAAACCATAAATAGAACACGATTTAGAACAATTTTTATTAATATACTTTTAATAATTTACATCAAACTATAGTAGCCTACATTTTGTTGTAGCATTAATTCTGTGGTCGACGCTTAAAAGGTAATAAGTCGATATTACACATTTTTGGAGAATGGCGCTGGAAAATTTTTGGACACATGAATAAGGATTTTTAGAATACAAATCGACGATCTTTTAAAGACATTTGGCCCTGTAAAAATTAAAAAATATGTAGAAATATTTTGTTTTAGCTGTTTTATGTTACAAAATTTGACTGTTTATGTTTAATTATGACGTTTTGTCTTCCGCGGTTACCCTTGTATTATTATATATGTTTTTTGTACCTTATTTTTATTACTTTACAACGTATATAGACTTGAATCCGTTTAACTGCCTAAAATATAAACTCTTTTAAATGTATTTTGACTAAAAACCCCGTTTACGTAAAAAACAACTTATGACCTTTTAAGCGCCGGCCACAGAATTAATATGGCTCGTTGACAGCTCCAGCTTTGCGTGAGGAAATGAAGATATTAATATTTAAACTATTTTTTTGGTAGATCAATATGATAATAAATAAACATTCTATATTATACTCTTCAGAGTTTAACAGACCCCCACAACCCCATTATCAATTAGATTTTTTTTTTAGAATCAATAGTTTGATTTTTGCCAAAGTTGATATAATTGTTCGTTCAGATTCTTTCAAAAATGCTTGCAAAAAGATTTTTTCATTGTTATATATGTCTAGAAGCATATTATTTCATTGCCAACAAAAAAATCCATTCATAAGTAAATTTACTTTGAATTTGACAAGTTACACGACAGTTCCCATCACCGAGACATAGTACAGGTTGTGCACCTCCTCCCCTGTATCCAACTACCCATAGCAAGCAAAAAACATGACATGCCACTTTGTGCAGTCAGATGAGGGAATATTAATATCGTTGCAAAGTAAAAGTTTTTTTCAGTAAATTGTGTGTATATTAAGCTGTTTTAGAGTAAGAGCACAAAATCACTTATAAAATTAAATTTTAACACCCTGTAACGCTTTTACTATCCATTTTGTATATAATACTGTTTCTATAAATTTACTTATTTTCGACCCCAGTGGTTAAATTTACTGTACATCTTTTTGTCACACCCTGTTCATTTTATCAACCTGGATATTTAATACCCTCTTGGCAGAATTTTATATTTTTCTCAAATTACTTTTAATAAAGAACAATATTCATTCATATAATTTACATTCCCTTCATCCACATCCAAAACTATCCTGTATCACCTCGTACCACCCAGTTCCATTGACGTATACCTTGACACATATTCTTCACCATGACCTTATTGATCAAAAATGTGTACACAAAAGACACAAAAACAGTTTAAAATTTTACCTTAACCCTCTCAAATTCGCAAAAAATGGGCGCCAGTAGTTGCAAACCATGTAGAAAAAAGAAAAAAGCATTTTCAGGAGGATCCATATTGGATAGGGTTATTAGTCAGTCTTCAAATCAAGATCAGTGTTTGTTGTATAAGTTGGCGAATTATAAGAAAGGTAAGTGAATTATTTGGATGTAATTTAAAAGACGTGGGATTAGGTAAATTATTATGATACGTAATTATGAACTAATATCGAAAATACCATTACATTTTTTATAATATTTTAGTTATTTATGCAACTCGTGAAAAAGTGTTTATTGCACGAGACGTGAAATTGTCGTCAGGCCGAGTTGGACACGTCGAGTGCAAAAAATACTTTTTGCACGAGTTGCATACAATATTTTTTCTACGTTCATGCAAAAACCAAAAAATGTTTTATTTATGAGACACTAAGCCCAGAAGAATAAAAAGCGTAATTTAATAGCAAAATATTTAATAACTAATAATTAGCATCGATTAATATTGAAAAAGTACTATAACTATGTTAAGAAAAATAATTTAACCAACAAAAATATTTAATTTTTAAAACCAATTTTGTAAGTAGATGTAATTATGGCAGACATTCTACACATAACATTAATGTCAAAATAACGTCTGGTTACTAAGTGTGCATTTATCAGTAGTATCACATGGACAAATTATCATCAAGCATCAAGTCGAAGATATATTAGATGCTAGAAATAATCATCATCTTTTGGGATACAATAGAATTTAAAGCAATTTTCATTTGTCATTAACACGTTTGTCTCTGTATCTTAATTGGTTTGGTTTTCTTGCCTAAAATATAATGAAAGCTTTATATTAGTATATTATGCAACAATCATGTAATAACCATTACATGAGAGTTGCATACGCTATTTTTTCTACACCCGATAAATAATCAAGAACTATAAATATTATATTTATATATTTATATTGGTATTGAAACAATAACAGTAATTACTCGTATTTCTATAAAAAATTCTACAAAATTATAATTAATGGTATTACCTCGGGTATTGGTATTACCATAGATTTTTGGGGCAAAATATTTTGTACTGAATTTTCTGCTTTCTCTGATATGTGTGTCTTCTATATCGCTGATATCAGACATTTTGATAATATAATTATCGAAGTTCAGCTATTTACGAAAATTTAATACGTTTTGACAACTAAAACAATCACATAGGAACCTAGGACAAACGTTAAACAGCATGCTTGATTGAAAAATTGTAGATTTCTATTGATTAAAAATCTGTATCGTAATGAAATAGTATATTACATTACGAGTGTGGAAAATCACTTTTCACACAAGTGATGTACAATATTTTTCCTACGGCCACAAAATAATGTCATCAAAAAAATGTAAAACCAAGGTTATTATTACTATAATAATTAAAATCTATTTAAAAAAAATAATCAACAATAATCGTATTTATTCAATTTTCATATTTTCTAAACAAAAAACAACTAAAAAAAAAAAATTCTGCCCCGCCAGGATTCGAACGCGGTCGAAAAATGGCAAAGTTGATAAGTTCGACGTCCTAACCACCTGAGCTAATAGCACAGCTTATACAATACAGCTAAAACACTCTCTTGGCGGAAACGGTTTGCGTCGATTTCGTCGCGCATCGCTTAAGCTCCGCCTTCGAAGGGAAAAGACGGTTTTGGTGTTCAGAAGCGTACTTAGGTAAGGTGTTGAGTCGTGCGTATAATTTCGTTGATTGTATAATTTCGTGGAGCCTATAATTTCGTTGATTGTATAATTTCGTGGAGCCTATAATTTCGTTGATTTTGTTTGAGTTAAAGGTACTGTTATTATTTTGGTGACTCTTTAGCTATGAGTAGAATGAGTGAAAAAAAAGACATCATTCTGTTTGTGCAGTCAAAAGCTGTTTTAATAAGGGTTATACCTGCAAGAAAACATTCTTTAGTTTTCCCAAGGACCCAAACCGATAAGTACCACATTATAAGAAATTTTCATTGTTAAAAATATAATTTATACAGGGTATCCCATTAGTGCGTTATTGTTCATTATTTTGTTGTAGACACGCAAGAAAGTTTTAAATAAAAGTTATATGGATTTGAAAAATACCTACATATTTTAAAAATATCTTTGGATATACAGGGTGTCACGTTTTTGCCTGGCAAATTAAAATGTATGTTTTTTAAATGGAACACATTTAAAAAAAAATAAATTTTAATCAAACTACATGATACTAATTTAATTACGAGTATTAAAACTAAAGTCCTGAAAGTTTCGGTGAAGATGAGGACAGAGCATCTGCCTTCCACGCGAAAAGCCCGGGATCGAATCTAGGCCGAGGACTAATTAATTTTTCATGTTAATTTTATTTTATAAATTAGTCAACTTCGTAAATTATTTTAAAATTAGTTATTTTGTCTAAATAACCTAAAATAATTTTTTAAATTTGTAGATTTTCGTTAGTGGGTCGTAGAAAAAATATACTGACCATATCGAGTGGATTGTTCATATCACAATCAGACGATTGAGTACTCCGCATACGACGTCGTGCTCAAACTTCGTCTTTGTGTGATATTGCTATCATATCTACCCTTGTTGAACAAACTATAATTTATTTCTTTTCTTGGTTTAAACCAAAACTTAAGTTTTACATCAGAAATAGGAACTAAATTAATTTACTTTTCAAGTTTTCTTGTAAAAATCGATATTACTTTCTCCAAGTACAAATTTAGTACCTACCTAAAATAATTACTAATTATTTAATATCGTGTAATATTGTAATTCAAATTTCACATTACTATAAAGTTTCAAAATTCCCTACTTCGGTATGGTCAGATAAAAATTGAATATATTATATTAATAAAAACTGTCAAAGTATTACTTCTACAAATCTGTATTTCAATTAATAAGAATACATCTAAATATAACCAATATTGTTAAAATAAAAGCACAAATTCTTTATAATTCCAAAATACCATAGAGTTCCCAGACCAGCATTCGTTTATCTAGGTATAAACCCTTTGCGCGAAGAGTAACACTTGCCAGAGACACGGGGTACCACTTGATTTGCATCCACGAGCGTGACACAATTCTTTAACAATTGAAGCCCTTGGTGTAAAAAGGATCCAAGCCACAATTTGTCGTGAAGTGACTGTTTTAGCTCAAAACATTTGTTAACGAGGATTTTACTAGCCACATACAAATTATTTTACCTCTAATCCGAAAGATGTGCTATTTTTCGTAATATTTATATTTAAATAATGTTTCTAATTATATTTGACAGATTTAAAACAAATTAAAAATTTAATTTCCCAAAACTTACTTAATATGGCATGTAACCAACCTTATTACGCCAAGGTTTTCAATTTTTTCAATATTAAAAAAATTGTTTAATCCGGGCCCGACTTTTCCCTCGAATCTAACAGAGATAGCACCATTCCGTCTTGCTTGGTTCTCGACCGCCAGATCAAAGACGCCGACACGGAGTTGTGGAGCTGTATTGTATAAGCTGTGCTAATAGCCCTTGTGTCAATTGAATGATCTAATCGGTTATGTATTTAATTTAACCAGAATAAAGAGCAAACATTATTTTAAAATTATTTTAATAATAATTGTTAAAGATAAATATCTAGGATCTAATTTACAACGATTTCAATAATTTAACAATCATATCGATTTTAGTATTAATATGGACATTACATAGATCAAAATAGAAATTAGGTGTTTGACAATTTGTGACAACTACTGCGGAAAGTAACATATTCTCACTCGGGTGGAAAGTAAATTCTTATTCATACGCCTGTGATATAGGGCACTTTCCATAGGACTATATAGTGTGATATGTGTCACTTTCCTAAGTGGTCGTAGGAAAAATCTGTATCATAATGAATAATCATTATGAAACGGATTATGGGCATATAAGTGCATTATTATAATACGGGTGTAGAAAAAATATTTTTTTACAAAAAAAGCTTTCTACATAACCTGATATATATTTAAAAATAATCTCAAAATATAAAGAAAAGTCAGTTGACTTACTAATAATGTTTATAGATGGTTTTCAAGATATTAAAAACAAAACAAATATTACAATAACAAAACATTGTAGTGAATGAAAACAATATGATTTTGATGATAATAATAACTACTCTCAATATAAACTCAAATAATAAAAAAACAACCGAACTTACAAATGATAAAATTATTGTAAAAAGTGAACACCCATTATAAATTATTACGAGCCGGCACTCTGGTCAAAAGTGAGAGTATTTCTAACCAGTTGAGAAAATCTCTCACACACTGACAACTTGGATTTTCTTTCTAGGAACCAATACATTTTTTTGAATTTAAGTTGAAGTTCTTTACGTTTTTTTTTATGTGCTCTTTCCATTTAAGTCGTACATCTAGGACCTTCCCTAGGTATTTGGCCGAATTGTGATGCGGAATAACATCATTGTCTGTTTTTATTTATTTTGGTCCATGTTGTCTAAGAGTAAAATCAACATGTACTGATCTAGTTTGATTTATTTTTATTTCCACTTTTCTGTCCACTGATTGATTTTGTTGCAGGTTTCCTGGAGTTTTTCTGTGTCATCCGCAAATGTTGCTATTTTAATACTATGTTGTTGAGGAATATCGTTGGCACAGCAGGGCTGGGCTTAAGTGCTTTGTGCTTGTAAAAGTGCTTAAAGCCCTATGCTCCAAGCCCTTTTATAAACTTGTAATTGGGGCTTGTCAAGTTAATTACTTCAGAAAAGTGTTTGGTAATTTCTAATTGAAAACAAGTAATGCAAGCCCTTTCAATGAGCTTCAATTACTTTCAAAGGGCTTGAAGCACTTTTGGAAGCTTTAAGCAATTTAAAAGGGCTTGAAGCACTTTTAAAAGGCTTGAATTATTTGATTTATAACTTTAAAAAAAAATTGTTCATAAAAATGACTCTTGTTTTCGGTGTGTATCATTTATTTTTATGCAAAAAATTTGTTTTAAGTTCCTATAACTTGAAACGTATTAACATAAATTACAACCTTTTCTGGACAGAATTTTCAATTATAATTCCTTAATTATTATAGTTTATAAAAAATTGAAAATTAACTTTTATCTACATTTGCTTTTTGTTTGTATTAAAAGAATATTATTTTATGTTCTTGTAATAAAAATAGAAACATATAAACAAATAATATTGTTTTATTTTAATATTTTTATATGTATTATACAGCTTTAAGCTGATGACTGAAGTACTTGGTAGATTATAACACTTTGAGAATTTAATTACACATTTAAGGAGCTTAAGGCACATTTGTAGAGCTTCAAGCACTTTCAAGGTACTTCAAGCACTTTCGAAATCCTTCAAGCAGTTCTGAAGGCATCTCAAGCACTTTTGATGTGCTTCAAGAATCACTTTGAGGGCTTTGTACTTGCCAAGCACGAAGCACTTTGAGGGCTTTGTGCTTGGAAAGCACTTTCGAAAATAAAAAGGAATTTGTGCTTGAAAATGAAAGCACTTTAAAAAGGGCTTAGGACTTTCACTGAGGGCTTTGCCCAGCTCTGATCGTTGGTGTATAGTAAGTAAAGGACCGGTCCTGTTGGACACCTGCTTTAATTTCTTTAATTTCGGAGTATGCCTCCCCTTGCTTCCTATTAGATACGATTGAAGAACATCAGTATATTGTTTAGGGAGCCTTTTTCAAGTTTCTGTATCAGGCCAGCGTGTCAAACCTTGTCAAATGCTTGGGCTACGTCAAGGAACAGAGCTGTGCATTTATACATTTTTCTTCGTATGCTTTTTTGATGATATCGGTACTTGATCTATTGTCGAGTATTTGTTTTTAAAACCAAATTGGTGCGAAGGGATCAGATTTTTATTTTCAATTATTGGTTTTTGTCGTTTTTGTAGTAGCTAGATATTGGTAACACTGCTATAGGTCTATATGATGATACTTCATTTGGAGATTTTCTTGGCTTAGGAATTAGGATAACCAGCCAATTTCTATGCATCTGTTATATATTTAAGGCAAAATGCTACATTTCTGAGGTATGACAATTTAACGATAGCCTTCCTTGGCCGTTTTTTAAATATTTTTCCAATAATAAGGTCATGTCCTGAGGGTTGATGTTTGCCTAAATTTATTTCGCAATTTTACAATCAAAATAAACTCAAAGCCATGCGACACAATAATATGGGCGGTCGTTTCTCTTTTGACAACTACTTTGGCATATACCTCACCAGGTATTGAATAACATCAAAAGAAAAAAGCACATTGGTTATATCTGAGTCTGGATTTACTTATTTATTAATATCTAAATGCAATTCTTTAACAGACAAAATGTTGATTTTGATTGCTTCTTTATTTAATTTCTTGATTTATTTACCAAAACGAAAAAAAAAAAAAGAATTTATTGGTTGTTACATTCCATAATTATTACGTTTTAAATGGGTTTGGCTTCAAACTAAATCAGAAATATTGTCAAATATCAATTTTAAAAAGAGACTTAATATTTTATTTGTTTTGTAGGAGGTGAACTCATAGAAGCTTATAATCAAGGAGGGCAAGCAGAGGTAGAAAAACTCATACGAGAACAATTTGGGCAGCTCATGTACCAAGATGGAAAAGGACAGATAATTAATCGATCTGAATATTTGAGATGGAAATTTAGAGATTGTGAACAAGTTACACTCCCAATAGAAGCTTCTCTCAGCAGGTTATTAGAAATTAAATATAAAAAAATTGAAACACAAAAACATATTATGTCCAATTTCAAAAATTCTTACGTATTCCCAGAAAATAAGTAAAAAACATTCAAAACAGCCATAAACCAAAACAAAACACAAATCAGGTCTCAATATTCTCCCCTCTCTTTGTTACACCGCTGGCCAAAGCCACTGACAACCAAAGAAAGTTCACATTTCGGTTGCCGCTACTATACCATAGCGATAATGCAACACTGTTGTATTGACACTTGTTAATAACAAAATTCAGTCAATTCAATTGGGATTATAGGGATTATATTTTCATATAAAGTACATTTGTCAATAACATTTTAATCTTTATAAATCATTATTTTTATGTTGTAGGTATGACCCTTTGGGAAAATGGGAAGATCACGAAGCCTGCTGGCAAATGCAGTATAGAGGATCTTTAGGTGAAAGCCTACTTCACGTCCTTATTATATGTGATACAAAAATACATACAAGATTAGCTAGGACTTTAATTAAGTGCTTCCCTAAGTTAGCTTTAGATGTAGTTGAAGGAGAAGAGTATTTAGGTAAAGTAAATAAATTTTTGATATAGGTACATTATTATATTTAATAGTATTCTAATTTCTAGGAGCTGGAGCTCTACACTTAGCTATAGCTTACAATAATAATGAGTTGGTTCAAGACTTAGTAGAAGCTGGTGCAAACGTCAACCAAAGAGCAATAGGTGAGTAATCCTTTATACACAGTACAACAATTTCCGATCTCGAACAGGAAAGTCTTAAAGTGGATAATATAGTAGTAAAAGAATTACCTATTGAAACAAAAATTATAAAATACGAGTACATTATCCAAGTTCACAGCAAATTACCTTTTAATTTTATTTTTAACTAATTAAAGATATAAATAATTCTTGTTTTCATAAGTAACTCTTCTTGAAATTATTTACAACTATCACCGCTATTTCCGTTTGTTCAGAATTGTATTTTTTTAGGAAGTTTCTTTCTTCCAAGGGACCAACAACGCCCTAAACCAGCAAAACACACCGAATACGAAGGTTTGGCGTATTTGGGGGAATATCCTTTGGCATGGGCTGCGTGTTGCGCCAATGAAAGCGTGTATAACCTATTATTGGACAGTGGCGCGCATCCAGATTACCAAGATAATTTTGGAAATATGATTTTACACATGGTTGTTGTCTGTGATAAACTGGTAAAGAACGAAATAGTCTACAGTAAAAACGATATTAATGATTTTTCTGTGTCTTTGTTTTTGTATAAAATGCCATCTAATATATTCAAACACTTAGTAGTTAGTAGTTATTTCATCCAATATAGACTCCTGTATATTTGCTTTATAACACCCATCATGTGTAAGAGCCTAGATAAATTAATCAAAAATATTTTTAATCCCTTTCATCTACTGAAAAATCTTAACATCAGATGCTGTAATGTGAGTTTACTTTTTTATTTTCTTCTATGTCATCGTCTTCCTTATTCATTTAGTAGTCCTCTGTGTATCTTGCTTGCTTTACAATACTATTTTATTCCATTCTGTCTGAAGCCTTTCTCTTCAAGTTTGTTTCATCCTTATTAACAAATATAACTCATTAGAATATCAAGACTCTGTTGAATCGAGCTGCCCCATTCAAAGAAATAGAACTAGTAGGGATGCTCCTTGGTGGAACCGCCATCTGTCAAACTTACGATCCGAAGTGCGGAAGCTCTATAATAGGGCTAAGCACAGCGGAGATTGGCAGAGCTAGACCGAGGCGATTACTACCTACAACAAAGAAATCAGGAAAGCTAAACGTAATAGCTTTAGAAAATTCTGCGAGTATATTACCTCTACATCTGCGGCAGCGAGACTGCATAGGGCCCTGGCAAAAGAGAGAGTTGACACAGTTATGGCATTAAAGACCAAATGGAAGTTTCACGGAGCGTGAGGAAGAAAGAGCTCGCCTCTTACTCGAAACTCACTTTCCTGGAAGCACACCTTTTCTAATAAGGAACACAACTAAGGTAAGCAGGCCCCCAAGATAGGCCGCTGTAGTGGCCAAACACATATGCAGTAGAAATCGGTTCAAGTGGACCGTAAACACTTTTGAACCGTTTAAGTCTCCAGGTGTGGATGGAATATTTCCTGCCCTGCTTCAGCAGGCACAGGAGGAATTACTACCACACATAATCCGGCTGTCTGGAGCTGGGATATATACGAGAAGCATGGAGAAGGGCCATAGTCACCTTTATTCCAAAAGTAGGGAAAAAGGATACCACACATCCTAAATCCTTCCGACCAATCAGCCTCACATCCTTTGTAATAAAAACAATGGAGAAGGCTGTTGATAATTATATCAGACCGAAAGTCCTGGAGAGAGTGCCACTCCACCACAGTCAACACGCGTACCGAGCAGAAACTGCCCTAGTACAGTTGACTGATGTAATCCAGGATGCACTGACGAACAAATAAACGGTCTTGTATGCCTTCCTAGACAATAGACGAACATCTATGCAGATTGACTGACCTCGGCATACCCTGTCAAGGTTATGCCGACGTCATATTTGGTAAAGGCAAGTTTAGAAATATCCTGTGTGATATAGTCCAACGAGGACTAGAACATAACAAAAGATGGTACCGTGAAGTGGGACTTAGTATAAACCCTACAAAAACAACACTAGTAGCCTCTTCAAGGAAAAGAAAACTTAATCTCAAAACCGTTAAATTAGACGGGATAGATATATAATGGAAAAATGAAATCAAATATCTAGACCTAACCCTGGACAACAAACTTCTCTGGAACACACATGAGAAGGAAGTAGTAAATAAGGCCACAAAAGCCCTAATGGTATGGAGAAATATTGCAGGTAAACGATGGGGATGTAACCCAAACATACTGCGATGGATGTATACTGCGATAGTGAGACCAATCATCACTTACGGGGCTATAGGCTGGAGTAAAAGAACTAGTTTAGCTACTACGAGAGTTAATATTTCAAAAGTACAAAGCCTAGCCTGTGTTTGTATTACTGGTGCAATGAGAACCTCTCCTACGGCCGCAATGGAGGTGATCTTAAACCTCACCGCTCTACATTTAATTTGGCAAAAAGGACACAATATAGAACGATCAAGAACGGAGTAATCAGACGAAAGTCTACTTGCTTCAGGACTAAAGATACCTGTGACATGCCCCAGGATGAAATGCTAAAGAAGTACAGTTTTGTGAAAAACTTCAAAACTACAGAGCTGGGCTTCAAGAAAGAATGGAGTCAAGAATCCATCGCACTTGCAACCGAAAGACGTGCTATTCAGTGGTATACGGACGGTTCCAAAACCATAGAAGGAATTGGAATAGGAGTGTATGGGCCGAGAACCAAGCACTCTCAAAGCTTGGGAAAATACCCAAGCATCTTCTAGGCGGAAATTCACGCCATTGAGAAGTATATCCAGTTTAACATCGAGAGAAACTATCATAGACAAGAGATTATCATCATATCCGATAGTCAATCGGCCATCAAAGCGCTGAGCTCTTAAGTAATCAGCTTAAAAATGGTCTGGAGATGCCTAGAACAATTGAATGAGCTAGGCGAGAAAAATAGAGTTACTTTTACTTGGGTCCCGGGACATAACGGGATACAGGGTAACGAGATTGCAGATAATCTTGCAAGGAAAGGGGCTCAAATACCCTTTGTGGGATCTGAGCCGTTCTGCGGTATCAGCAGTAACATAATATTAGGAGAGGTTAAAAAAAAATTGGGCAGTAGAAGAACCGATAATTGGAACAATCTCTTGGGACTGAGAGAGGTAAAGATACTTCTGGGTGAATATAACCATAAAAGATTGGAAGCTTGCATCTGCCAGAGCAAGAACAGGCTACTTATTGTAACAGGGTATTACCGACTAAAAGGACACCTAAGTAAACTGAGAGTAGCAGAGGATAGTGAGTGAAGATTCTCCATTCGAAACCTCCATTCACATCCTAACTGAATGTGTAGCAGTCCAGAATCCAAGGGCACTATATCTAGAAGGATATCAAATAGAAGAGGGAGATTTACCTAATTTGAAGCCACTTCAAATCCTACACTTTCTTGATAAAATATGATTGGAAGGGTCGTTATAGGCATTGAGACATTTTCTTGGTGTATTGGCGACAGAAGGGGGCACAATAGATCTGTTAGGTCGCAGTGTATTAACACCCCATTTCCAACATAACATCAGGACTCTGAATAAAAACTGTTAGTAAATTATTCAATTATTACTGTTGTGCGTTTCAAATAGCTATATTATTATTGTAAGAAGTTTTTATTATTGAATAACAGATACCTTCGTATAGACTTACTTTTAATTTTTACTAAACAGATAATATGGTGAACAGTTTTACTTTATTACAGAAATACTGCAAATAAAATGTCGTTGTGGATGTTACTTTTACCCTTATTTGTATAGTTGCAAGTCTATTATTTTTCTTAGTGTTTGAAGGTTTTTATAATCACAAAATAATAATTATGTCTTCAACTGAATCCGAATAAAAGGTGCTGGGGTGGGACACATAAGACAAAGAAAATTTTGTGTAAAAATAAGTTACAATAGGATGAAATAAACACAAGAACATAACAATTTTCCAATATTTTTCTTAACAAATATACTGGTCTTTATTTTTTGTTCCTTACAATATTTTGAAGATCTAATTTTGTTTTATATTTTTTGTTATAAAAATATTACTGCAATAAAACACTGTCTAATTCCATTACACAAAAAATCTTTAGGTATTTGAACAAAATCAATATTTTTTAGGATATGTTTGGGTATGCTTTGAGGCATCCAAAACTTCCAGCTAGCAATGGTATAGTAAATATAGCTGGATTAACTCCTTTAACATTGGCTTGTAAATTAGGTAAATATTTTAGTAAATTTTAAATTTTTTGATTTTGTTTATCGTACATTAAGTATAAAAACGTATTTGGTATTTAAAGAGTGATCCATAAAAACTGTGTCTGTAGTAGATCATGATCGACAAAGATAGAGATACAAATCATGTCCGTGATAACTACGCACGGCTGATATTTAAAAAGAAGAATTGTAAGCTGAATTTTTCTTTAAAAACATTTTTTGTGGATGATATCATATTTTGTTGATTATAAGTATAAACGTTATTATGATACAGAGTGTCACTATATTCAACCGACAATGTTCTACCCCTGAGAATTCTCGTTAATTGGGTCAAGACAAATTTTCAGGGGGGGGGGGGGGGCATTCCCTTTTAAGCATATATTTTTTTAATAAAAGGCCTATAAATAGTAAGAATTTTTATCTCAGGGGAGAGGGGCATGGCCCCCCATAGACCCCCCCCCGAGCCGCCCTTAAATTGGGCTTAGTTACAGAGATATGAAGTGTTAAGAGTTTTAAAACAAAATTCAAATTTTGTCATAGGACAAAAACGGTTTTAAATTGCATAAAAATACTTTTTTCTCCGATTGTCATTAAATGTCACTTTTCTTGATCAAAAACGTAAAATTTTTCTTGCCTACGCATTAAAAATAATTTTTAATGCCCAGACATTAAAAAATTAATTATTCTTCCTTTGTCTTTTAAAGTCTTGCTCTGAACGAGCATCTGACCAAAAAAGACTGGAAAGATAATAATAAATATTAAACATGCGTTAGGTATATCCGTTATACTATTAAATACATTTTTTTAAACACACTGTATAAACAATCGGAGAAAAATTATGATTCACACAGCAGAGAAACAGATTTACTACCTTGGTTGGCTGTACTAAATCTGTTACTTGTCTGCCTAGTTAATCTATTTCAAACGGAATCAATATTATTATATTACCTACATAAATTAGTAGTTTATTTAGATACTTTTTAAAAATTAATGAATTCTTTACATTTCAGGCCGAGCAGAAGTATTTCGAGAAATGTTAGAACTCTCAGCCAAAGAATTTTGGCGCTATAGTAACATTACCTGTTCTGCATATTATCTAAATGCGCTAGATACTCTGTTACCTGATGGTAGTACAAGTAAGTTTACAATATTTAGTTAATAAAATGACATGTCCAGTTTATCAGTAGTTAATCCTTCTCAAATTTACAGTATTTTTAAATTTTCCTTCATTAATGTTAGATTTACATCCATTTCAATTTATTTTTCAGTACCTGGACTTCTGTCAATTGGTTGATTATATGATTATACCTCGTCTGTAAAATTTCATTATTGTTACATTTTTCTATACGTCTCCCATTAATATTTATTTAGAATATTTCAATTTGTTAGATTCCTTGCACTTTATATCTATATTTTACATTTTAATGACATTATAATAATATTTTGATGACATTTTAATAACATTTTAATAACATTTTAATAACATTTTAATAACATTTTAATAACATTTTAATAACATTTTAATAACATTTTAATAACATTTTAATAACATTTTAATAACATTTTAATAACATTTTAATAACATTTTAATAACATTTTAATAACATTTTAATAACATTTTAATAACATTTTAATAACATTTTAATAACATTTTAATAACATTTTAATAACATTTTAATAACATTTTAATAACATTTTAATAACATTTTAATAACATTTTAATAACATTTTAATAACATTTTAATAACATTTTAATAACATTTTAATAACATTTTAATAACATTTTAATAACATTTTAATAACATTTTAATAACATTTTAATAACATTTTAATAACATTTTAATAACATTTTAATAACATTTTAATAACATTTTAATAACATTTTAATAACATTTTAATAACATTTTAATAACATTTTAATAACATTTTAATAACATTTTAATAACATTTTAAAAACATTTTAAAAACATTTTAATAACATTTTAATAACATTTTAAAAACATTTTAATAACATTTTAATAACATTTTAATAACATTTTAATAACATTTTAATAACATTTTAATAACATTTTAATAATATTTTAATAACATTTTAATAACATTTTAATAACATTTTAATAACATTTTAATAACATTTTAATAACATTTTAATAACATTTTAATAACATTTTAATAACATTTTAATAACATTTTAATAACATTTTAATAACATTTTAATAACATTTTAATAACATTTTAATAACATTTTAATAACATTTTAATAACATTTTAATTAATTACATTTTAATAACATTTTAATAACATTTTAATAACATTTTAATAACATTTTAATAACATTTTAATTAATTACATTTTAATAACATGTTAATAATATGTTAATAACATTTTAATAACATAACATTTTATTAACAAACATTTTAATAACATTTTAATAACATTTTAATAACATTTTAATAACATTTTAATAACATTTTAATAACATTTTAATAACATTTTAATAACATTTTAATAACATTTTAATAACATAACATTTTAATAATATTTTAATAACATTTTAATAACATTTTAATAACATTTTAATAACATTTTAATAACATTTTAATAACATTTTAATAACATTTTAATAACATTTTAATAACATTATAATGCCATTTTAATGACTTAATTACATTTTAATGACATTATAATGACTTAGTGACATTTTAATGATATTTTAATGAATTATAATGACATTTTAATGACTTAATGAAATTTTAATGATTTAATGACATTTTAATGACTTTTCATTACATTATAATGACATTTTAAATATATTATAATTACATTTTAATGAGATTTGAACCACATTTTATATAACAGCATTTTATCTACTATTTGAACTTTGAACAATAATTATAGAAACATTTTTTTATATTATAAGCTAAAAAAATATCTACCCGCATTCTAAAGGTCTCTCTCTATGACCTGTATACTATAATCTGCCCATCCATTCTGTTTTCTATAGAAATATTTCATTTGTACTCAAAACTACATAAAATAAAAAAAAATGTAACCAATCTAATCTATTTTTGATTTTAGATTGGAATTCCGCCTTATTTATAATTTTAAATGGAACTAAGGAGGAACATTTAGATATGTTAGATGGCGGCATAATTCAACGGTTGTTAGAAGAAAAATGGAAAACTTTTGCAAGGGTAAAGTAAATATTCTAAAAAACTACAATTCATTGCGATCATAGAAAGACAAAAGAAAATTCAAAGTATGGTCTAGAATATGTCTAAAATAGTATAGTACAGTATCCGAAGTAAGGTCAACCTTCACCCATCCACCGTTCAACGGATGAAAGTTTTTTTCTTTTAAATAAAATATGATTATAAATATATTGCAAATGAGTTGCCTAAGAAAATACGGTCACGGCCATTTTTTATTTACCTTTCTGTATAGAGATAAGAAAAGTATAGGAATCATGATAAAAATTGCTTGTGATGTAATTCTCTATAATTATTCTCCTATATGATTTCCCTAAAATGAAAACCGTATTCAAGATATTTGAAGAAAAGTGCAAATTTCGAATTTTGAAGATAACTCAAAAACGGATAAAGAAAAAAACACAAAATTTTAAACTTAAGCTTTAATCCATCCTGCGTTGAGTTGATTAAATTTTGGGTATAATCGAAGCATCTGGGGAATATTTTACAGGGTGTCTTTTTTTACTTTAAGAAAATAAATAGTCTTGTCCGTATTTTCTTAGGCAACCGATTTGTGGTATATTTATAAACATATTTTATTTAATAAAAAAAACTTAAATCCGTCAAACAGATGGGTGAAGGTCGACCTTACTTCGGATATTAAACCAGTATATAATGTTGTATCTTTTTTCCAGAAACAATTTTTAAAAAGGCTCCTTATTTTAGTACTTCATTTAGTCTTAATGTCATTGGCTGTGTATCTGAGACCTGATGATCCCGACGTACCTCTTTTGGGTTGGAGAAATGATCCCACTACGATAGCAAGGTAGTTACTTTATACCAAAATAAATTATTTTTTCTACTACCGTGCGTAAAGTACGTACTTTACGCACTCCACGAAGTGTATAAAGTTGTACTTTTTTTCACTAGTGCGTAAAGTAAAACTCTTTACGCACTAGTTAAAAAAAGTAAAATTTGACAAAATTTGTACATAACAAAATATAACGTTTTATTTTATATTAACATTTTTTTGCTATCTCCTTCTAAGACAAATAAATAAATTATTTTTGCTTATATCTATTTAGTGTCCAACAAATTATCAACAGTTTATTTTAATTATAATTTTCTCTAAATGTCATCGATTTAATTAAAAGTAAACATACAGTGGATGTCGATTTTGGTAAAAGAAAGTTGGCCGTGGCTGTGTGGATTAGAAGAACTGTCAATCTCTAAACTTTTAATTAGTACCTACCTTATAACAGAACACGACAAAAGTATACTTAAGTTCAAGATTAGATTCTAAAGCCAATTTAGCATTTTTTTAAACTCAATCAAGTTTGAGAAGGTAAAAAGTTTTACTTTTTAATGTTTGTTTACTTAAATTCAAATTTTATTTGCAGTTTATTATATCTGTCATATTCGATATGGATTCAAATTTATCTAGCGATAGCGAATTTGATAATACTCCCCCAAATATCTTATGCAGTGCACAAAAGGCCACTGAAAATTTATTGCCAGAAAAATCTGCATATATTTATTAGCAAAAATACAATGCATTTATAGAATGGTGTAGGAAGAATAAGGTGGCAAAATATTCGGAAAACGTTATTTTAGCATATTTCTCTGATGAATTGAAGAATTGCAAAGCTTCTTCCCTTTGGTCAATTTATTCTATGCTTAAAAGCACCTTAAAATATAAAAACAACGTTGATATTTCGAAATTCAACAAGTTAATAGCGTTTCTCAAACAAAAAAATAAAGGTTATAAACCAAAAAAATCCAAAATTTTTGAACGAGAAGATCTAATTAATTTTCTGTTGAAAGCTCCAGATTCCAAGTTTTTAATGATCAAAGTAAGTAAATGCCTCAGTAAATGCTTAAATGCTCAGTATAAAATTAAAATATTCTGTAAAGTTTTGCAACGAGATGTGTGTTCGTATGGTGTGTTGCCTAACAAAATCAGTTGCTGTCCTAACAGGCCACCGGGGTTGTTAGGCAGCACATTATACCTAAAACTTTTATATTTTTTAATAGCATTTATTTGGAGTTTTACATGCGCAACGTCAAGATATTTCCTAATGTTTAATAAATTATTTGTAACATTACAATATGTTATTTTTTAGGTAGCTTTTATAATTGGAATTGCGGGAGCTTGTCGCCGGGAAGAATTATGTAAAATGACAATTAACGATGTGGAAGATAAACAAACAGTGTATATTGTCAAAGTATCAGAAACCAAAAATGGAATAGAACGCATTAGTACGATTTTAAATCCAAATAATTCTGCAGTTGCTTATTTATCTTTCATAAAAAAATATACATCATTAAGACCATCAAATATAAATTGTTCAGATTTTTTTTTAAATTCGCAAATGGAAAATATTCTAAACAGCCTGTAGGGATAAATACTTTTGGTAAAATGCCAAGTGTTATAGCAACGTATCTAAACTTGCCCAATCCAACGGCTTTTACAAGACACTGCTTTAGGAGGTCTTCAGCCACTATGCTGGCAAATTCTGGAGGAGACCTTCTAACGGTCAAAAAACATGGAGGATGGAAATCATCTGCTGTTGCAGAAGGCTACGTAGACAGCACAATAACACAAAAAAACAAATTTTCTAATAAAATTTTGATTGATGACAGTATATGCCATCCACTTCCAAACACAGCTACAATTTTACCGTTGATAACTCTAATGAAGAATTAGTGGAACCACTCGACAGTGAAACTAGAGTTACACAAAATATTTGAACCTCTTTACTTGAAAAGGCCAAATCCATACCACTCGATGCTCAAAATAGGGTTACAGAAGTAATATCACAACATTTTTCAAATTCTGTGCTGGAAAAGGCCAAAACCTTAAGTTTTGGTAATTGCAATAATTGCACATTCAATATTAATATTCATAAGAGTTAAAAACCTATTTTTTTAAATATTTCTTCATTTGTTAGTCATTTTGTTCTGTAAGAATTATAAGTTTATAAAGTTCCAATAAATTTATTTTTGTTGCTGTGTACAATTTTTGGCACATTTTACTTTTTTTCACTAGTGCGTAAAGTAAAGTACTTTTTTTCACTAGTGAAAAAAAGTAACTTATATTTCTAATATTAGTGGATTATGTGTACGGTAGTAGAAAAAATATTGTATGCAACAAGTGTGTAAATAACTATTTTCTACTACCATGCACTCCACAGAGTGCGCAAAGTTCTACTTTTTTTCACTAGTGCGTAAAGTAAAACTCTTACGCGTAACAAAATACTTTACGCACTAGTGAAAAAAAGTATCTTTTATATTTCTAATATTAGTGAATGTGTACGGTAGTAAAAAAAATATTGTATGCAACTCGTGTGTAAAGTACCCTTATTGATTAAACTATATTTGTATTGCTATTTCTAAATAAAAATTTCTCTTAAATAAATTTGATGTAATTCCACAATTCGGCGCGATTCCATAATGCACATTCGACTATCTAACTTTTTATATCTAAAACCACAAGTTATTAAAATTTGTTGAAGTGATTCTAATGATTTATATTAAAAATCTTCAAAATCTAGTAATCTTCTAAAAAGTATCTTCAAGATTGCGACTTGGTTAACTTTATACGTGTTGTAAACCGTTCGTCGAATCACATCCTTAGATGGATAATCTATCAGACACTTGACGATACGTTTTCTTTTTTCACTGTGTTTAATCACAACGCCTCGTTTAACAACGAAATAAATTGTAAAAAAGGGAATTTTTGTTAACTTACATATTATTTTAATTGCATTTGTTTGTGAAATATTTGGATTTTCTGATTTAAGACAAGCAAACATATTTAAAGTGAACTGTTGAACTTGAATATGTTAGTCCTGATTTTTGAATTCCCAAAATTGTGTTTCATCTTGATTGTCATTAATTGCATTTTTATTGGAATTTTATTATTAATGTGAATATCATCATCAATAACTTGCAATTCATTGGCATCTACATTTACCTCAAAAGATCTCCAGAAAGCTATCTTGTACAGCACACATCAAAATTTAACAGAAACACTGAAAAATAAAAACAAGTTTAACAAACGCTTTGAGAAAAAATTTCAGACCATGCACGCTACTGAACAAAGATAGAACAACTAAAGCAGCCAGATGCGCCGCTCTATTTTGGACTTTACATCAACTGTAAATGCATTGATGATTAAAACTTAAGTGCTACATCAGTCGCTATAGCGAGACGGTTTGCGCTTATTTGCAATGTGAGGGTATAGAATTCGTAGCGTTCTTACCGCTTATAACGCGAATTATTACGCACCCCTGGTACAAAGGCCTGTGTTGGATTGAGTCTAGAAACACTATACCTACTCTTATGCCGGTTCGTGAACCGTGGGTCCTGCATTTATAATAATTTTTCAGTTCGTTGGGGGCAAATTGTACATATTTTTTTGACAAACTTCTTATATTAACTATCAACTCTCAGAGTTACTAAAGTTATTTCCCTCACATCCAGTATTGAAATAATAAAGTTTTTTTCAGGTATTTTGCGGAAGTGGGTACTATTTTAGGTGTTCTAAGTTATGTTATTTTTCAACAAGGAGATGAAATAAGAAATCAAGGACTGTGGACTTTTTTAAAACAACAAGTAAATTTATACTTTTGTTGTAGGTTTTTAACAATAATTCAAGAAAGTTTTTTATTTTTAGTCAAATTCTCCTCCAAAAATGGCATTTTTAATTTCGAATTTTCTTATTCTGGCTTGCATACCATGTAGGCTTTCAGAAGATAGGAGAACAGAGGAAGCCATATTGTTATTTGCTGTACCTGGATCGTGGTTTTTGTTAATGTTTTTTGCTGGGTACGTATATACCATTGTATACAATAAATATCTGAAATGGAAAAAATAGAAATATGCATTCTAAAAAATTGTAAAAATTTCCAGACAAAAATTAAAAAACTATAAAATTATTAGTAAATATAGTGTATTTGTTAAGAATATTCAGAAATGTGATTATATCCATGAACTCCAATTGACTAGTTGAACATTATACTGGGCGTTTCATTAATAATTGTCTATATGATTTTTAAAAAGGCATTAACCCAAAATATTCCGATTTGACCTTAAACATTTAGGCATGAAATATGACAGTTATTAATGAAAAAACATTCTGTATAAATGTCTGGAGGTAAAAAATATTATCCTAACCTTTCTAGCGATTAAGGTTGTTATTAATATTTTGGTAAGTTGTCTCTAGTAAATTAGGTACCTTTTTATATACTATTGTAGTTTGCATAAGTATTTATTACTCAATGCTGTTATTTAAAAAAAAAAAAAAAAAAAACTAAGAAAATGTTTGTTTTGTTATTTTAGGGCTGTGAGATTAACAGGACCTTTCGTAACAATGATATATAGTATGATCACTGGAGATATGCTCACATTTGGAATAATCTATACCATAGTTCTATTTGGTTTCTCTCAATCATTTTTCTTCTTATATAAGGGTTTTCCAGGAGTGAACTCTACCCTTTATTACAGTTACCATACTACTTGGATGGCTTTGTTTCAGATTACCCTAGGCAACTATGACGTAATTATTTATTTAATACAAAATAGAATCTATATAGGTAGTCTCGAAAAAAATTATATTTATTTTGTTGTTTTTTAGTATCAAGAACTGGGTTCGTTGACTTACCCATCTGTTGCCAAAACGGTTTTCGCCATATTTATGGTTTTTGTACCAATTTTGCTGTTGAACATGTTAATTGCTATGATGGGAAATACTTATGCCCATGTTATCGAACAAAGTGAAAAAGAATGGATGAAACAGGTAATTTATATTAAAATAAAATTAATTTAGTATCTAGTGTTTAAATTTTTTTATATTTTGGATTCTACAGTGCTCTTTAGATAAAAATATCCACCTTAAAGAAACTATTGAATTACATTTTTACAAAAAAATAAAAATATGTCAATTAATATTCGAAAAGGAAGATATTACGATATATTTATGTTTATTTATTTATATTTACATTTCCATACGACAATTTTAATTGTATTGGAATATAGTCATAAAAATAAACTATATGTAAAAGTTACCTATAGCTGAATGATAAAATAATAAAAAAAAAAATATTAAAGATATTAATTAAAGATACTGTCTTCATAATGCAAAAAATTCATCGAGTGTATAAAAAGCATTAGTTACCAGGAATTCTTTAAGATGACTTTTAAATTACTCAATACCTCTACATGTCTTCATGACTTGAGGTAATTTGTTATAAATTCTTGGACCTATATAATTTGGCGAACAATAGGTTACTTTCCTCCTGGCTAGCGGCAAATGAAGAAGATGGTTTGGTCTCGTTGGATAACTGTGATATTCATTATTGCATTATTGTAGATAAATTTCTTTAAATTTTTACGAACGAAAACACACAGTTCAAAAATATAAATTGAAGTCACAGTTCAAATTTTTAATTTTTTAAAGTATTCCTTACACTATGTACGACTACGAAAATTCTCGATGTAGCGAATAATGTTTTTTGCACTATGAAAACAGAGGATACAGTTGTGGCATTACCCCAGAAATATACACCATAACGTAACCTGGAGTCGACTTGTGTATAGTATAATTGCGGTTTTTCAAGAAAGTTTCTCAAATTAAAGAAAAGAAATTTCAATGAAGTAATGCCAAGAAAACAGATTACTACACCTGATGAATTTCACCATTAATATCATAATCTACAATCACATTTCCTGCTTTCACAGAAGCTAGTGACACAGACATTGAATATTATGACTTGCACAGTGCACATGGATTCTTGTGTGCGAACTCGACAAGATCCGCATCGAATAGATAGAGATTTTGTAGACAGCTAAAATAAGTTGTGACGTTTTACTCTTTTTTTTGTTCCCAATCGATAGATTCTTAGTTAATATTTGTAAAGACTTGTTTTAAATTCCTTCATTGGAGTTATTGTTTATTAAACAGTGCTTTAACTGATTTTTTATTTCATTTTAAACTTTTGAATAGCGTTTTCTCAAAACTCTAAAAATGTGAGTTAACCTGTTTCTGCAGTAACCCTACGAGATATATTTATGTTCTGTGGTTTTTTTTTATTAGAGGTTCCACTAACAAATTTTAAATGGGTGACCTAAATAAAGGGTAATTACCCAAAGATATTGCGGCCCGCGTAATATAGCAAACATACGTATGTGGCCAGAAGAAAAAATAGGTGAGTATGGCTGGTCTATACACTGTGTCGAATGCCATTTCTATTTTTCTCTCTATCTAGTTTTTCCATTGGTTTGCAATTCTAGTCTGAACGCTGCCTGTTCTTCATCTAATTTCTGTTATTCTTGTGTACAGTTTGAAACTGATTTGGGCTAAATATACAGGGTGTTAAAAAAAAGTGTCACAAAATGAAATGGTGAATAGTATGACCCAAAATAAGCAGAAAAGTCTTAATAAATATATGATCGCAAATTAACGATTTCGGAGATACGGACCATTTTGTGTTTATAACAATTTTCTATTATTATAAAAAAACAATGATATTTATAAACAATCAATAACAACATAGAGTTAATTGAGATGTTCAAATACTGACGTAGCGCTTCCCTCGCATTGCCATTTGCACGACCGTACATAAAATGCATGTCAGCTAATTCAATATTAGTGTAAACAGGCATAACGAAAATTTATAAAATTATTCGCCCACAACAAAATAATAACTGCAAATAGTATCTATGAAAAAACATCGGTAGACTCCGATAAGAAAAGCAAGTTTTTGAGAATGAAAAAAGATAATCAAAAAATGATACAAAACACAAAACACTCCGTATCTCTGAAACCATTCATTTGCGGACATATGTTTATTAAGACTTTTCTGCATATTTTGGCCCATACTACCCCCCGTTTTATTTTGTGACACTTTTCTTTTTAACACCCTGTATAGCTCTGTAGTTGCCGCACCCAGTTTGTCTTCCCTTCTTGTATGTATGTATGTATGTATGTATGTATGTATGTATGTATGTATGTATGTATGTATGTATTATAATGAAACACGAAATCCCAAGAATATCAAGTTAATGATTAAAAGTCTTTAAAGAAATAAAATTAAAAAGTTTCATCTAAGTATTTAGACTACACCCTGTATAGTGGTAAATTTGACAAGATCTAAAGTAACTAAATGTAGTGAGACAGTGTTACCAAATGAAAATTATAATTTTTAAAATGTAAATTTATAAAAAAAATTAGAACATGGATTTCAAAATAACCTATTAATTAATGAGCAATAAATTATCATCGAAATTATGAAATAAGCCGTTTAAATAAACTCACCTTTATAAATCCAATAATCAAATTTCAATAATGTAACTAAACTGTCAAAATTTTGATTGGCTAATTTCACTTTTTATCCAACTTGATAAAAAAATTCAAATCAGAATTTGTTGATAAAACAAAAGAGTCGGTAGCATGTAACGAAGGAGGAAGAACATGTAAAATTTTTCCTTCTAATTCCTTTCCAAAACTCCTTTTTCCTAAAAAATAAAGAGACAGAAATATTAAATCTTCAATGTTTATTTATAAGTACTTAATAACTAGTGTATAAATGTCAAAGGTAATATTAAATTTAACTTACCCATGGAAAATCATGTAAAACTGACCGAAGACTAGTCCCAAGGAAGACATCATCACCGCTGTATGCACCGGCATATTCGACGAAAGGCCTCCAGTTCCCCAGGTATTTGTAATATCTGCTTCTGTTTATGGACACTGAAAAAAGATACGTTTAACACTTGGACATCTCATATTTCACAATGAAACAGGTATTTTAATTAAAAACTATCATTAGTGACTAATTTAAAAACTTACTTACCATAATTGAGTATTTAAGTAATCGAAAAGACGATAAATCTTTCTATTTACGTCTAACATAGTGTCACAACTTTGTAGAAACATTTTGGGTTGGTTAGGTTATAAGCCATCTCTTGTCCGATTTCAGAAATTACTGTATAGGCGGTCAAAAGATTGTTACTTACATTGAGAAGCGCCGTACAGTGGGTAGAACATTAAGTCACGGTAGCTAACTGTATTTTGGTCGCATAATGCGCCATTTTCGATCCAAGAATCGATCTTTAAATGACGCATTATATTATTTTTCGTTCTTAAGTTTATTTTTTACATTTATGTAATAATTTTCTGTTTCTTTATCCCTTACTAGCCATAATCTTTGAACTCGCACTAAACCCTGATATTAACATATTTTAAATAAAACTACAAGTTATACACAGAGTCTCAAATTTTTACTTACTTTTATTTCAATAATTCAAGAGTTGATGATATACGAGGTGCAGAGGTAAGTGTCTTAAATACATAGATGAAAACTTTTGAACCTATTATCTAAAAGAATTAAGTTATATCGTTTTATCACAATCGCGCATTGCATCAGATAGTATTTCAGCCGGAGCATTAAGTATTTGGATGAATGAGGATGATTTGTAATCTAAATTACTTTTAAATAAAATAATAGGGGAAGTGTGGATATGATGGCACCCTTTTTTTTATTTTCAGTTTTTCATGTATAAACTAATTTTTTAAATAGTGAAATTGAGGCTGCCGGTTAATTTTGCCATTGTTTATATATAACACGTATCAAATGATTAAAAGTCACGTGATTTTTTTATTTATTTATTATTTTCATTTTATATTCAAGGGTGCCATCATATCAAAGTATTTGATATGATGGCACCAATAAATATCTTAAACACAAAATACAACTTAGATGTTATGTTTTTGTTAACAAAATCCCTTTAACACAACAAAAGCTTAAAATAAACATAAACCATAAAATTAAAATCCTTGGACACAGCAAAAGTTTAACTTAAACGAAAAACGATACCTAAAGAAAATAAAAACAAAACAAATTAAATAGGTACCTACTCTTCGCAAAGTTCACATATAAAAGTTTTTATTTTTGGTGACCTATCAGCACAAGCACCATGTGCCCATTTCCCGCATATTTGGCATTTAAGCCACAACTCTTTGGACCTTGACCAGGAGTATAGTTCGTTGCAATACAAGCATGGGACGTCTTCATCACCCTCATCTTGTTGATAATTTGCCTGGAGATTTTCCTCATCCGATGACGTTTCAACAATCTTAACCTTTCTTCTTACAGCCCTTGCCAACTTCGCTCTTTCTTTTTCCCGTTTTAAATTCGCCACTGATTTCGCAGATTCAATATCTGGTGTTGCATTAATAATGCCCATTTTCCCTTTTTTTCTTGGTTTTCGTGTGTTTGTTGATACTTCGGGCATTTTCGGCAAAGGGGATATTTGTTCAATGCTGACTGAAAGCTTCGAGGAACGTGCTTCCGAATTCGACTCTTGGAGCGACCTCGGCGATTGATTTGAAGTACTTGGTGCACTAGTAACTTCTTGATGAGCAAGAGGCAGCAATGGTTGATTTTTAGTATCAGCTAAAGAAGAATTAATTTTTATATTCTCTTCAGCGGGCGTCCTATTTGTTGTTTCTGAAGGATCGAACATCCAATCTTCAAATATTTGTGGATTATATGGAACGATGCCTGTTGTTTTGAATGCTTTTATGGCTGTTGCAGGCGTTGCAGCTTTAAGATAAGCCTCGCCAAAAATGTTTGCTACTTGCAAATGGGTCACTACCCTTCCAGGATGCGCCTTAAGCCAAAGACGTATCTGTTGATTATAGAACGTTTAAAGCGGCCCGAAGAATCCTGTATCTAATGGTTGACATCTATGCGTGCAGTGCGCAGGAAAACAGAATAATATAATTCCATTTTCTTTGGCCTTGGTCAAGACAGAAAGATGTTTGTGGCTGGCATGGCCATCGAGCAAAAGTAAGACTTTGTGTTGTAAAGTTGGTTTTGCAAAACGTATAAAATGATCTAACCACTTGACCATAACTTCCGAGGTCATCCATCCAGTTTCTTGGCAAAAGCATACCGACCCAGGAGGAGCATTATCCATTAGTTCTGGCTTCATATTCTTTCGTGGAAATATGAACGCGGGAGGTATAAATGTTCCAACGGCGTTCATAGCACATACTGCAGTATAGTGTAGGCCTCTTTCCGCACTTGTTAAACTACCAACTTGTTTACGACCTTTGGTAGCATATATTTTTTCAGGCTTTGTCTGGACTGTAGAGAACCCACTCTCGTCCATATTATATATGTTCTCATGAGAAAACTTATATAAAGTCAAAACTTCGTCTAGACTTTTAAAGTAGGCTTCAATATTACCTCTATTAAAGGCTGTCGCTCGAGCTGCAGATGTATTTTCTGGTGTTCGCAGGCTTATTAATGGATGGCGTTTAATGAAGGAGTGAAGCCACGTCCATCCGGCTTTATTATTAAGATGACTGAATTTGTGCTGAATATTATTTTGTGCTGCAACCTGATACGCCAGTGATCTTACGTCTGTTGTTTTAAGCCCCAAAAACCGAGTCTCCATATTTGTGATATGGGCAACAATTTCGCTCTCTATCTCATTGGAAAAAGTTGGCTGACATCCTCCAAGGTTACCTTTCTCATGGCTCATATTTTTTCCAACTCTACGACGCAATGTAGACGCTGGGACATTAAACGTTTTAGATGCAAGTTTCCATCCCATTTTTTTTTGCTGTATATTTATCATTGCCTCACGCATATTTTCTTCATCCCATTCATGCCTAGAAACTTTACTTTTAACTTTAGGCATTTTTCTATATCTCTTCTAACCCTGTAAAAAAAACTAAATTAAAGAACTCATTTTTAAAATTGTTTGATATGATGGCACCCTATGCCACCATTGAAGGGTTATAGGGTGTCATCATATCAAAATAACATAACAGTGCAAATGGCTGAATTTTCGTACTCTAACCCAAAACTAATTAATTGTTTTAGTTATATAAATAACCTATTATCATGCGCTTAAACAGATATAAAACATTTTGCAAATATCTATGCATATGCTACTAAATATTCCAAAAAATCGATAGAGTGGAAAAAAGTTTCATACTTACAACTAACAATAACAACGTGTTTCTCTGGCTGAAGGCACAATACTGCGATCCGAACGTCACAGCATGGTTCATGGTGGCGTGTTTAACAGCGGACAAGTGTTGAATTAAATAAATTCAAATAAACGGCGCCAATATCAATAGGATGCCACCATATCAAGGGTGCCATCATATCCACACTTCCCCTACTTGGGTAATGTTACTCTTTATTAAAATATTCATATCACTAGAATTTATGGCTACTAAACGTGAAGCTCATTAGAGTATGGTGTCAGACGAGGAACCTTGATAAAAAAAAATTGTACATGAATAAAATAAATTAGAATAATTAAATTAAAATTAAAATAAAAAAAAGGACATCATTACCCATTACAATATAGCTACTCAAACATAATCATAACATCCTCTTCATTACAGTATGTATGTATTATAAGATTATTTTCTCATTCTGTTGGTATCTTTCGTTTTGCAATGCTGTTTTACATATCCACTCTTTTCCCTTGTCTCCCAATCCTTATCTTCCAACTATTTAATCATTTCCGGAGCTGTCTTCTTCTCCACTTGCCTTTCCTATTTTGATTTTTTGCATAGCTTTTGCTACTCTCTTTATTTCTCCTTGTTTTAGTCCGTCTTCTCTGTTCAAATTTTCCTCTGGATATATTGCATTAAATTTATCTGGGTATCTGGGCTATATATCGACCACAAGAGTCTGTTGTTTCATCCACAATAATGTAGAAATGGTTTCCAACGGTAATCTCACGAATTTTTTCACGAGTCTCAATGTACAAACTGTCAGCACCACGTTTGCGTAATATACTTTGCTCTGGAATATTAAATTTACAGTATTTTTGCAAAAATGATCGGAGATTTGGATTATTTAATCGTATTAAAGGGATATTCGAAGTCACTAAAGCTTTGCATAAATCTTCATTAAAAATAGCTTGTTCACTTCTAGACGATACAGGTTCTAAATATTGTTTCAAGGGAAGTTGACTTTGTCTGCGAGTGTCTTTAGATTTCTGCTTTGCTATATGTGAGGGTGTTTTCGCGTGTTGGTCGATTGGAAACTTTTTTTTACATGGAATCTAAAACAAATAAATTCCTGTAGATGTTGAAGTTTTAATTAAATTAAATAAATGCGTACGTTGTAAAGTTGCCCTACTTTTTTTTAAACTGTGAGTTGAAATAATATTTTACTGTCAAAATAAAATATAAAATAAAAAAGTACTTACAATTTTAGAACATATTTAACAAAACACCTGATTATCACCTTTTACAACAAAATCTGAATAAGATTTTACCCACGACTCAATTAATTTTGCCATTTTTCCCACTGGTTAACACAACACAACAATAAAGACTGAAATGAAGTTGAAAGTAAACTGAGTCATTTAGAAATTTGAAGATATTAATACAACTACCTGAAAGGATATTTAGCAAAATTTGTTGGTTTAAGGAGGGCGTTTATAATTTAATCCTCTCAAGTACCTACACCATTGACCGTAATTTATTACAGGGAAAAGTTAATCCTTCAAAATTTTAGGAAATCGATCTGTAAAGGCATTTCACAAAATATTATTTTGGTCCAAAACTCATAATTTTAATATGTCCAGCCAATTAGTACGTCAGATATATGCCAAAAAATTAACAAAATGTCAATATATGCATTCAAAATCAAAAATTGTATATATATGCAACATATGGCGTTTTGCATATATTCCTAGCTCTATTGATAAAATTCTAAAACTTCTTCTTCTGCTGTTTTTTCTTATTGTAAATTTAAATGATGTTAACTATTTATTTTAGTTGTATACAAACTACTTGACTGTCGTGACCTCTATCACTTTCTTGCTATTTTCAAATATGAAAAAAAAAAATTCTGACATTTAGGGTCTTGTTTTAAGAATGGGAGAATTTACAAATTCTTTGAAAAGACGGACCTTGATTCTTTTTTTGTTTATGTCTTACGGAAAGACATGGAAAATACGAGTACCAAATATCAAAAATATATAAAAGATAGTTGGTACGCTATGAGTCAAGTAAAATAGGCAAAATTGATTGGGAATAAAGGACGAAAGGCCCATTAAGTATGAGTTATTTGGAAGCACTTTGATGGCCTCCATCCACCGTTATCCCAGACAGCACACCAAATCCTTTGGATATCTACTGAACATCCCAATATCCACTGAATGTCCAGTCCATGGTAGATATCTATTTTATATCCATGAAATGTAATTTATAGACATGCAAATGTCCATAAATAATAGTAATTATATAGCAAATTATTAAAAAATTACGCCATTGTGCTCGCCATTGTGGCTAATAGTACCGTTCAGATATTTAAAATTAATTTTTTTAAGGTGTATTCAATATCCCATGAACATCCACTAAATATATCAAAGTCTAGACGCGAACGCAAACCATCGTGGATATCCACTAGATGTTATTTGATTCTGCTTACTAAGTATAGATGGCGATACCACTATCGCATCTACTCATGCTCGACCCGCCGTAATTGAGTTCGATCGAAATTTGTGTCTTAATCACTCCATTAGAGACTGGAGTCGAGAATTTTCATTTATTGCTGAAGAGTCCTAATAAGGATGACTTTTTCCTTAGTGGGCAAAATCAAAGGCAGAGTGTTGAAAATATTTTTTATCTCTGCTATTTTCTTTCGACGTTATTCAATAATCATTGGTTACTTATGAACCTCTACTAAAGATACTAATAAAATATTTTGCTGAATATCCTAATACCTTCTATATCCTGGGATATAGACGGACATTTGGTTGGATATCCATATTGGATATATTGAATATCCACAAAATATATTCTGTGGATATCTCTGGGATTTCTTGTATTTTCTGGAAGATACCCATTAGATATTTTGCTGAATATCCATTAGGATATCTTCTATATTCTGGATATAGACGGATATTTGGATATCCATATTAGATCCACGGAATATTTCTGATATCCTGTGGCTATATTAGATATCCACAAAAGATATTCTGTGGATATCTCTGGGATTTGGTGTGCTGTCTGGGAATGTATCCCATTTCCCTGTATGAAATCGAGGTTATTATACCTAAAGGTTCTTGTTCCTCAGACAAGAATACAATACATACGTAATGAAAACATTAAATATTTTAACAATATTTTCTTTGCATAATAAATGTATGGTCTACATACGATTATTCTTTTTCAGTGGGCAAAGATAGTGATAGCTCTAGAACGTGCTATACCTCAATCGGATGCTCATCACTATTTACAAGAGTATAGTATATCTTTAGGTGGCGGAGATAATCCAGCTACTGAGCAGAGGGGTGTTATGGTAATAAAATCGAAAAATAAAACTAGAGCCAAACAAAGAAAGGGAGCGGTTGCTAACTGGAAGGTAAAAAGTTAACACCCGGGTGCAAGAACGCTTGTTAACTATGTCCAAAGGCGGCTCCAAGGCGAGGAAAGGGGCAAGGAAGGGGAGCAGGGGACGGTGGGGGCCATGCCCCCTTCCCAGATTAAAACATTTAAACACAATCCTTTTATTTATGGTGATCTAAGGCACATCATTTCCTGGGGTTTTGAAGGGACCTAGAAAATCGCTGTTTGAAAACACAATCCTTTTATTTATGGTAATCTATTAGCACATCATTTCCTGTGGTTTTGAAGGGACCTAGAAAATCGCTGTTTGAGGAGTTGATAAAAGTTTGTTGTGTCCAAACATCGAAACAAATATGCTCACCTTACTTCACTTTTTATTTTTTTTATAAGCATGGCCCCCGAAAATTCCTCTTGGAGCCGCCCTTGAAACTATAAATAGCTAATGATTCCATAATTTTATTGGAATTGGAAGTTCATGTCATTTAGATAGATCACATTCTCAAGCTTTGTCAAAGTTTATCGGTTCCATAAGTTTTAACGAACTTTGTTTGCAACCGATTGTATAATAGGTATTGTAAAAACTCATGATTTTTGATCATTTATTTTATTTTTATTAAGAAAATAATGCTAGAACCTGATGTTTTCTTGTACTTGTTTAACTATGTCTTCAATAACACTGCAGTCTGTTGGCATATTGTGATTTACCGTATTTTAGCATGTCTTAGGATCCATGGAAGAAGAAGACATCATCAACATAATAGGTCTCCATTATTTACACCTATTTTGTATAGACAATCCCATTACTTCTTACTAGTGGAATTTGATATTTTTATGCTGATATACAGGGTGTTTCCGAACTTGGCGTCCAAATTTGTAGGGGTGGTAGTTCGCATAATTTGAGACCGATTCATAGATTTCATTTATCCAAAATATTTAAAATAAAAATAATTAAAAATTAATTAAAAATTATAAACAGGTAAGGTCCTGCACAGCGTTGGGAACGCCTCGACTCGCGCGCGCTACGTTTAGAATCGACAAAATTGCAAATCGCATCTGTTTTTGTGGACTATTGCGCTACGAGCTCAGGGTAAGACCTGCTCTTTAATTTTCTTTATAATGGCTCTATTTTGTATATTATAATTTTTTAAGAAAAATGAAATCTGCCAATCGCTCTCAAATTATGCGAACTACCACCCCTACAAATTTGGACGCCAAGTTCGGAAACACCCTGTATATTATTTGTATACAAAAAATGTTATTCAGCTCAAGCCTTCAGACATAGAACTTGTATTAAAATTTAGTAGGATCTAGATCAATTGACAATATTCTGATGTTGTACGTACATATACACAGTGATTCTAAACGACACTGCCAAAATAAAACCCGTATTTTTTTGTTTTAAAGAAGAAGTTTTAGGGAGTCAAACGGGGATTTAAAATCATTTTTTTTTAATTTCATGAAAACACTACTCAATCGATTTATATCAAATTTTGTATGCGTCATCGTACCGTAGGTAAACATTGCCTCAACTTAATTAGTTTTTCATTTTTTGATAGACGGCGCCACTTGCAAACCTAACTATTTTTCTAACTTAGTTTTTTCCAAGTGTAAAGCTATCGCATTTTTTTCAATAGAAAGAAGGTCATATTTCCTTCTTTCTTTTTGCTTTCTATTTAACTAGAAACAATTAAAATGTGGCACAAAATCAAGATCTGGTTGTTTCTTTTCTGCTCAAAAAACTGTACCCTCTAGCAAAAAAGGAAAGAGTAACTTTTTTTGCTGAAAACTCAATTGTGATTAAGAATATTGAAAAAATTCGATAGTCCCATTTGGCGCCCTGAAAATTTGATTTATCAGTTCAAATAATAATAAAGAAAAGAGAGATACGAGCAAAAAAAAAATTAATTATATGCTCCGACATGCTTGAATTGGATTACTTCATGTTATATCGTGCAATCAATAAAATAAATTAAAAATCAATAATTCACCAAGTTTTTGTTTTTTAGAGAGTTGGAAAGGTGACTATAAATGCTCTAAAGAAAAAATGTATGACAGGAGAAGAAATGAGATGCTTAATGTGGGGAAGAGAATCAATAAACACTCCTATAAAAACAAAAAGGTAATTTTCAAAATAATAATTAGTTTTAATTCTAATTAAAATATTCATTTTAGGCTTCTAGGAATTGAATATGGTTTATTGCTATATTTTTTAGAAATTAATTATCAATTTTTCAATCTCTAATAACACACTTTTTATAGGTATTCGTAGACATTTAAATACTTATAAATAATTTAAATACGTAGAGAATAAACTAAAAATATCCAATCATACTTTTAAATGTAACGTGACCTTTCACGAACAGAAAAGAAAAATACTGTCTTTTATCTCCCTATTAATACAATAATATTTCACTCAATATTACTGAAAAGCGATAACGATTCTAATGCTGTCAGATTTTCTCGCTGCTGATGATTTAGGAAAACGTATTCAAACCAAACTGTCATTAAAACATGTTTGTAATTCTTCTGTATTTATTGTTTTTAGGAAAAATAAAAGTCCGTATGCGCTAGAACCTCAAGGTCCGAACTTGACAGGAGGTTTCGGCGATGCTTTGACAGGTGCATTGGACGTGATAGCTTTTACCCACGACGTTGACATTAATGGTGCCGTCCAGGGATTAAATTTGGCCAGCGGTAAGCAACCACCTGGTTATAATGAGGCAACGAAAACTGTGGATCCTGTTCAAGTTAACAATCGAATCAATTTAAATATGAATGATAAGAATGTGATATCAAACGGGGGTAAGTCATTTTACAAAACATTAACAGGGAATGTGGTTTATGTTATTTTACCTCATAGACAAAAGCAGCTATACAGGGTGTCTGTAAAAGGTCTTTAAGTAAAATTACCTTAGTACAAAGTTGCTTCGTTTGGGCTCCAGAGGGCCTTGAAGTTACAATTTTTAAATCGTTTTTCCCATATAAATTTAAAACTGCATATGCGATTTTGCTGAAATTTGGTATATTGGTAGAGTTTTACGTGGCAAAAAAAATAATATTAAAATTTTGTCCGATAATAATACATAGGCGTAGAACTTGATTTTTTAAATAATTGCACCTTTAAAAATTCTACGCCAATGGAATAAAAGGAGTTTGAGTATGAAATTTAGATTGCGCAACTCATTTACTTTAAAAAAGGTACTCTTGATAAGACTCGACTACTCTCATGGTTTTCGCTAAATTTCTGTTTTAATAATTTAGAGTGTATAGGTTTCACAAAAATATTTATTTACAACATAATCAAAATAGAGATTTTACAAAAATTGTTCAAAATGTTCACCATTTTCACGCATACAAAGATTTATACGTCGAAGAAAATTAAAATGTATCCTTTCCATAACTTCTTCATCATCTCTAAGATTGTTTATTGCATCTTGAATACGTTGCCAGAGTTGTTCCTCATTTTCTACAGGTTCCCTATAAACTGTGGATTTCAGATGTCCCCATAAAAAGTAATCCATCGGTGTTAGGTCTGGGGAACGTGGTGGCCAGTTTACAGGTGCGTCATTACCTCTGCCTATTCATTTGTTCATTCAAGTGGTTTCTAACGTTTAAAGAAAAATGTGGTGGAGCTCCATCTTGCATAAACCACATATCTCTCCGTAGTTGGAGAGGTAAATCTTCTAACATTTCTGGCAACGTATTTTGTAGAAAATCCAAATAATTTTCTCGTTAATCTTCGTGGAAGTATGACAGGACCAACAATGAAATTACCAATTATTCCAGCCCACACATTAATTTTGAATTCGTGCTGAAAATGGTTTACCTTTATTGCATGCGGATTTTCAACGGCATAAACATGTTCATTATGGGTATTAGTTATACCTCTTCTTGTAAAACCCGCTTCATCGGTAAAGAGAACCTTCTTGACAAAGTTTGGATCTCTTTCTCTTTGCATATTAACAAATCGACAAACACCCAAACGAATTTGAGGATCATGGACTAATAATTCTTGTACTGGCTTCTTATGGTATGGATATAGCAATTGTTCTCTAAGCACTTTATGAACGACATCTTTACTTACTCCTAGTTCCCTTCCAATTCGTCTGGTGCTTAATTATGGATCTTCTTCAACACGTTCTAAAATGTCTTCTTCAAACTTCAGAAATCCTTACAAAACGTTCTCTTCCATTATCAACAGTGTTGGGAGCAAAGGAACCGGTCTCCCGAAGACGTCTCTCGACAGCAGCAAAAGTTGGGTGGCTAGGTACACAACGATTTGGAAACCTTTCAGAGTACACCCTAACACTCTCTCGAGCATTTCCTTCACAAAATCCTAATGTCAGTAACATATCGGTATATTCTGCATTGGTATATTGCAGTGCTCCGCAACCGGTGTGCCGCGGCACACTGGTGTGCCGTAAGCCGACTTGAGGTGTGCCGCTCTTGCAGACAATACGAATCAGATTCGTATTGTAGCGAGACCCGCGAAAAATAAAGCAATCTGACAACAGCGCCGATGGTAAACGTCTATCCGTCTATCGGCGCGGCGCGGCGCGGCGGCTTGATTCTCGAAGGCGACTAAACTAGAAAGATCCGTGCCGTTCGAGGCGCGACTCGATGTTTTCCTGAACATCGCCACTGCCTATATAAGCGCGCCTGTCGTCGCTCAGAGACTCAGAGAGAGTCGAATAGTCAAGTGAATCAGATAAATACGCGGGCAAACAAATAAATCGTAGAGTGAAATAAATAGTGAATTGCTATATAAATAAATTCTTGTGCCTTATAAATAAGTGAACTGGACTAAGTTTTGTTGCAGTATCTACTTTTATAAATAACTATAGTGCTTCAAATATGGATAAATTTTTGCTGAAATCACGATGACGAAGAACCTAGCACAAGCTCCAGCATAAGTGCTGCAAAAAGAGCAAAAAAGGTGCTGAAAAGGAAGTACAATCAAGACTACCTTCGATATTTTAGATTTTGGTGTGCCACGAAATTCTAGGGAGCAGTTTGGTGTGCCTCAGATGAGGAAAGGTTGCGGAGCACTGGTATATTGTACAGCCATATTAATAAACCACGCATTTGTTTTTTTTTAATTATTGAGTCAGATAGAACACTTTCAATCGTTAACAAGAGATTAGGTGTTAAAACTTGACAATATTTTTATTTAGATGAAACTATGGAAACCAACAATAAATGTTTTTGTATACGTATTGCAGGCAAATAATTAATATTCCTCAAAAAATCGTACATGGCAAGAATCGAGTATTTTTGTTAAAAGTCTCGATTAGAGGTGTTGAAGAAGATATGAAAAAAGTACATTTTTATGTTTTTCATCGTATAAAATTTTGTCCGATAATAATACATAGGCGTAGAACTTGATTTTTTAAATAATTGCACCTTTAAAAATTCTACGTCAATGGCAAAAAAGGGGTTTGAGTATGAAATTTGGATTGGGTACTCATTTACTACAAAAAAGTACCCTTGATAACACTCGATTTACTCTCATGGTTTTGACAAAGTTTGTATTTTAATAATTATTGTTTATGTTCTAAAATTACTAAAATGCAAATTTCGTCAAAACCATGAGAGTAATCGAGTCTTATCAAGAGTACCTTTTTTAAAGTAAATGAGTTGCCCAATCTAAATTTCATACTTAAACTTCTTTTCTTTCATTGGCGTAGAATTTTTAAAGGTGCAATTATTTAAAAAAATAAGTTCTACGCCTATGTATTATTATCGGACAAAATTTTAATACCATTTTTTTGCCACATAAAACTCTACCAATACACCAAATTTCATCAAAATCGCATTGCCGTTTTAAATTTATATGGGAAAAACGATTTAAAAATTGTAACTTCAAGGCCCTCTGGAGCCCAAACTTTGTACTAAGATAATTTTACTTAAATCGACTTATTTTGGTCTAAGGAATACGTAGTATGTTTTTGTAAAGACCTTTTACAGACACCCTGTATAGGTATAGGTATACCCTAAATTAAAATAAATTCCAAACTTCTAAATATTATTTGAAAAAAGTAATTTTATTCTGTTCACTAGTATAATTTGCTTACATTATATTTAAATTTATCTTTGAGTCAGAAAATATTTGCACATTACGCCAATCTCTTAACTCATGAAGTAGTGAGCTGGTTGAAAGATAATAATGGAGTAAATGTTTAACATTTTACGTTAACATCCCTAAAGTGTCACTTATTTGGCCGCATATAATTTAAGGTCACTTTAAAGTGTCACTTTTTTGACCGCAGAAAGATGAACTTCTTATTTTTTTTCTCTCGTTTATTGGAGGTTTTACAACTCGTTTTGGAATGATCTAAATAAGTAAAAATTTTAGATACAACAGGACACTAGTAACAAGAAGTAATTATATTCCAATGATATTTTATTTACACTAGATACTTTGAATTTTAGGTAACGCCATGTTTGGTGCTCTATCCCAACTAACAGAATCCCAACCTTTACCTCCACCGCCTACTACAAAAATAGCAGTACCAACTTCCGACACTAAATTACCTCTTGAATCGTTATTAAAAGTCGAAGATCCTTTAAGAGAACTAGTTATTTGTGCAGAAAAAGACGAAGATCCGGAAAAACTGAAATTTTTGGCACTTTCGGCTGCAAATTTGGCCAAAGAAGAAAGTGAAATTCTAAGACAACAGCAGCAAATTAATCAAAATTTATGCCAAACACAAAGTCAGGATAAAAACCCTTCAGGTCTGAATGTTCTTGCAGGCATTTTCGTAGGTACTGAGTCTTTGATAAAGAAAGTTGAAGGTAATTTGAGGAAAAAGTTTGCTGTTTTGGATCCTAGCGATAGTGAGGGATTTGGAGGTAAGATTTCCTTATTAAAACTAATTAAAATTGTTTCAGCATTATGTCATATAAATTGCTACATAATTTAAAAATTTCAAAATTTATGTTTGAAAAATAACATAATTAAAATCAAACGATTTAATTAAAATTCAATAATTTATTTTTTAATACTCATTGGCAAAGTTTTTTTCTCGGTGTTGGAAATAAACCCGGCCCTGTTTAAAGTTAAACGATCAACGCAGGAGGGTCTTAAACCGATTCAATGCGCATGTTCAGTATTGCCACAACGAGCTGCTTATTGGTGCCAAAAGGGGATTATGTTATTGGGAGCATACTGGTTGCATTATGGCCATGACTAAAGTCTATTTTTATGTATGAGAGAGTAATAAAACAGCATTTCTAATGCAAAACTTAGTACGGTCATTTTAAATATTTTTACAGAATAATCTAAATATTTCCTAAAATTGTAATAAATGTACCTGAGCTATTACAAGTTTTTGGTCTCTTATTGGTCCTTTATAAACATAAGCTGTACAGAACAATAGAAAAAGGTTTGGACAGGCCAAAAGCCCTGTGTATTAAAGATTACATAGCCGTATCTTAAGATTATTTTCAATAAGTACCTATTTTCCAATTTTGTTTTATTTTAATTCCAAGAATTTCTTACAGTAATCGAATTATAAGTAGATAAATACTTTCCCAACAAATTTCACCGAAAATGCGATTATAGGTTTTCCATTTAGTAAGGAGGTCCAAGTTGTGTATTCTTGACAGTTTACTAAATGTCGTTTAGTTGCAACTTGCAAGGTGCAGTGTGAATTCTAGTGTGATCATGGAAAATTTGGAAGGGCCGCGTAAACGACAAAAAATCGGTCCTTTAATAGTTAATGAAAAAACATTAATATTTAATTGTTTTAAATCATTTACAGACAAACATTTATGTAAAAGTGTTGATGACACAATGGAATTAGTTAGTAGTACGCTTGGTGTTGGGAAATCTACGATTTACAGAGTTGTTAAAGAAGAAAAATGTGCCGAGTTTCAAACAGCACGTAAAGCTCCAGGAAAACCAAAATTTCAATTAGAAAATCTTTTGAAAGAAAGACTTCGAATGAAAGTGCATGCGTTCTTCTTTAGAAAAGAATTTCCGACAGTAGACAAACTTCTTGCCACGGTTCGAGATGATAAGGATTACCCTGAAATGAGTCGAAGCACACTATGGAAACTTTTAAAAGAAATAGGTTTTCTATGGAAAAAGCATTCCAGAAAGTCTATTTTAATAGAAAGAAGCGATATTGTAGTATGGAGAAGAAATTACCTAACGACTATAAAAGAAATGAGAAACGAAAGAAGAAATATATTTTATTTAGATGAAACATGGATCAACGAGGGACATAAACCAAATAAATTTTGGCAAGATGAAACTGTTACAAGTCGAAGACAGGCTTTTTTAAATAATTTATCTACTGGTTTAAATCCACCATCAGGAAAGGGGCGCAGACTAATAATAGTACACATCGGTAGTTCAAACGGTTTTGTTAAAGATGGTTTATTGACTTTTGAATCTACTCGTACCGGTGACTACCATGAGGACATGAATGATGATGTCTTTAAAGAGTGGTTCGAACAAATTATAGATCTTCTTCCTTAGAACTGTATAATAGTAATGGATAATGCAAATTATCACTCGAGACTTATAGACAAAATGCCCACAACCAAGTGGTTAAAAAAAGATTTACAGAATTGGCTAAATTCAAAGAATATTAAGTTCCATCCCGGTTCTGTGAGAAAAGAACTGTATCATTTGTGTTCCCTTCATAAAGAGAAATTCAAAAAATATGAAATTGATGAAATTGCAAAAAATCGTGGGATGACGGTGGTTAGATCACCACCATATCATTGCGAAGTAAACTCGATTGAACTGACATGGGCACAGATAAAGGGAGAAGTTTCAAGAAAAAATAATTCTTTTAAAATGAGTGATATTAAACAGTTGTTTTTGGAGGCTGTAAATAATGTGAAGCCTGAAAACTGGAAAAGGCAGTAAATCATTCGATTAAAGAAGAATTAAAGAAGTTGGACAATATTACTGATGAAATGATCGAGCCACTCATTGTAAATATTGGTTGCGACAGTTCATCTTCTGATTTCGATTCTGATTTGGATTTGTAGGTAAGAAGTAGTTTTTATATTAAAATTATTATTTATGAACGTAACGTTGTTTAAAAGTCAAAGTTTAAACCCTTATACCTACATAACCCGTTTGACACAATGTTCTTAACATACCTTGTGGAAAAATAAAACATTTTAGAAAAAATTGCACTTTTTTACCTTCAGCAGTTTAGAAGTTATAAGCAGGTTAATTAGGTGAAAATATAAGTGCATACTCGAGGAATAACTTCAAAAAATATTTTAACCGTCTACTAAAAGAAGTGGTACGCCTATGGATTACGAACGCTTTATTATTTTAATACTCTCTCATACATAAAAATAGACTATAATAAAAGTATTTTTTAAAGTTATTTAAAAAAATGTAGATTTATTCATATAGGTAATATACATTCTTATTTCATAATCGCTTGTGAATTTTTAGAAGCACCATTATTGGGTAAGGTGTCGAGAACTCGAAGATCAAAATCTGCACATCTCCGAAATTCTTCAGCTAAATCCAAAAATTCGGATAAAAGAAAATTGCTTCTAAATTCCGATTCAAGTACCGACACCGTCGACATTAATTCGGCGACGATAACCGATGACAGAGGATTCTTGAATACTACGGGCGAAGCAGTTTTACAATCTGGGCTCAATTTTATCGATGTAACAATGGGCGAACAAGATATGTAAGAAATTTTTTATAGCAAATAAATATTTCTGATTTTAAGACCAATTTTTTATCTAAGGGTAGCGACATACGATGTATTCTATCTATACTACGTAAATGAATAAAGCATTACATTTAAATATTTTAGGTCGAACACATTAAAACTATTATTTAAAAAAATCGCTTTTACATTTTTTCATAAATTGACAGGCTTGGCGACTACTATTTCGAATAAAAATAACGTCCAAGATGCAAGACTATGTCGGTACAGTAAACGCCAAATCTAAAGAACCAGCGCAAATGCTCGTTTACTTAAAAATCGCCACGCCCATTCTCAATTTGAAGCTTGTCCTTGCTTACGGTCAGTAGCGTAACGACTAGATCATTGTTTGTTTCTTGTTTCTGTATTTTGGTTAAAGTGACTGGTTTTATTTTTGATAATGTCTTCTATTGTGGGTGAAAAAAAGCGCAGATCTGTTATTAACAGACAAAGTGAAGTAATATACAATGTTTTTAAATATTTTGACGCAACAAAAAAGGAATGATTTACTTTAGATGATATCAAACTTCAAACTGCACAAGCAACAGGCAAACATACTCTGTAGTTTATTTGCAATTAAACTTGCGTAGTTTTCCATATTTTTTTGTATTTTACACACATATCTATGCATTTTAGTTTCGGCCTTGATGAAAATCCATATTATTAAAATGAGAAAAACTAAACATGGTAGATTTTCACACTTTTATTTAAAGAAATAAAAATTAAAAATTGCACGACAATTGTTTCTAAGTACTCCTGCTTCAAATGTGACTCATTTACATTTCTAATATATATACAAAATAAACTAATTAGTTAAAGTAGTTACTTAAGAGAAATATATTAATAAAATTCCAATAAGATATCATTACCGGGATTATCTCACAGAAAACTAAGAACAGGTAAAGATATTTAATTAAGCTTAGTTATTAATATCTAATTGATCACTTAAGAGGATATTTGAATTTTTAAATCTATTTATTTTAAGTGTTTCTAAATGGTTTAATTTAATGCCTTTATTCTCAAAATATAAAACAATTTTTGCATAAACGATTGATTTTCAGATAAAAATATGTTTTGTAGAATTATTTTTGTTTTTAGTATAACTATTATAATGTTTTAAATAGCTTTTTTTTTAAAGTACCACAATTTAATTTAGGGTCAATTTATACTCCCTTAGTATTAGTATTTGTATTAGTATTATGATTAAGCATTAAATTTGTTAAATCATTCAAAAAAGGTATTTATACTCGTTTTATAATTAGTATTAGTAATTCTTTTTTAAACCTAATACCTAATAAGATATAATTCTGCAGTCAACAAAATATATGGTTACTGAAGAAATGTGTAAGAGGCCGGTTGTGTTCTTTTAAGATATTTGAGTTTTAAATGTGTTTTTATTAAATTTTTACTAGTTAATTAGTTAATATTATTTAAAAATAGGTTTATATAAGGACATTTTAACGGATTTAAGTCTCAAATTTATAACAGATAAAAAGAAGCAGAAATTTGATACAAATCAGACAGAAAAGAGGCCTTTGCTTCCTCATGGTGACATGTCATTTGTCAACTTTATAATCGGTAAACACTGCTGATAGACAAAAATTGTATATAGAGTATGATTTGTACCGAAATATTATCGTTTTCGAGCTTGTTGGAACAAACAAATAAACAACATAATCATATGTATATAGTCAATTATCCTTATCTGTTGTCTATTAAAAACAAAGGCCAAATACGCCATTCATTTTATAGAAAAGAAGAAATTTAATATTTAATTTAAAAGTTGAACCTGTCAATTATTAAGCATAAATATTAATGCTAATACTAATCATAAATCGAGTATAAATGTTCCCATTACATTGTGAAGGTTCAACTTAATGCTTAATCATAATACTAATGCAAATACTAATAATAAGGGAGTATAAATAGACCCTAAGCAATATGTATGAACAAGTATCATTCACTATTTTCCATTTATTTTATGTCTTAAAATATACGCGCCCCTGGTTTACAACTTTCTAGGTAAGCTACCAATTCTATTCATCGGTAGGCGTGTTCGTAGCATTATAAATGCGCGTCCTTGGTTCTTTAGATTTGGCGTTTACTGTACCACCTTAGATATACTAGAGCTTCCCACTGGCAGCTATTGTTTGACAGGTCGTTGGAATGCCTAAAAGCGTCGATGAAAATTTACTGATAATATATAGGTACCTTAGAGCAATATGCTCTAAGATAGGTACCGTAAAATGGGGTTACTTTGCTCCAATTTTAGCATGAGGTTTAGAAACTGTTCCAAATAAATTGGAAGGAAAACACAAAAGATTTTGCTATTTAGGCTACATATACAAAATAGCTTAAACTTACATATTTACGTATTGGAACTAAAAACAAATGGAAACTATTTTTATTTTTACTTATTTAGTGGAGCAAAGTATACCAATGGACAGGGTGTGGTTTCGGTTGTATACAGAACGTGACCAAAGATTTAAATTTTCAATCTCTATCTGGGGTCTGGGATAAATAACCCCTTAAGGGGCAAAGTAACCTCATTTTACGGTATTTTCAACGTTTGTAGTTTGTCTAGCTTGATATTTTGTAGTATACTCCATGAACTAGGAAGAATTGAATGAATCAAACATAAACTAAGAGTGGAACTAGTCGTTTATTTAACACAAAATAAATGATCCTCTAACATGCTTTTTCGTCTTCCACATAACCTCACAAAACGCACCCTTCCCCGCCTAGTGTATTACTGGTTGCACACAAAGCAGTGTATTACTGGTTGCCTATCAGTAGGGGAGCTAATAGATAACACAACAGGAAGTACGAGTATATCTTCTGTGTAATTATTCTTCGTCAAGTGTAAGCGTAAGCACTCTCAGTCTCGATAGTCCTTCGCAGAATCAGCACAAGGTCTGCGATGTTGCGTTTGTTAAATCTAGTTTTGCTCAAATTGTAGCTTAGATGATTCATGAGTTTATACGATGGTCTTTTCATAAACTTTCTAGCCTGTCTCTGTTATGGTGAGTTTTTCCACAATTAGTGAAATTTGTTTTTCATCCACAATATAAAATTCCACCAACACAAAAGGAGTTATTAAACACATATTGAAGAATTCAAAATTGATTTTCAAAAATTAAACTTTTAATTAGACAAAAGGTAAAAATATAAAAGCTACTTAGATTTTTCTAATGACATCAAGAACTTACCGCTTATTGCAATTTTAAGGCATTGTTTTCAGGTCGATGATTCAATTTAAAATGAAATGTAAGAAGAGGATCTCAGATCAGATCAGATCAACTGTCCAAATAAATCTCCCACTACGCGGAATCTTCTTCTCTCACAATGTTGCTTGCGCCGATAATTAAACTTTAGATTATTTTAATACCAATTCATTGATTATACAGGATGACACTCATTTAAAAGTCACATTTTAAAAATGTGACTTAAAATGTTACAAGCTATTGAACGTCGTAAATCTGACAACATAGCGCGTTAGCCGAAATATGACCAATGTTACATATGTTTATAGAGATTGCTCATCCCTATTTAAGTAGGACTACGAAAAGCGCCTTTCTAAGAGTTCTCTGAATAGAATCGTTTAATATAAAATTTCAGCATTTGAATAATTTTAAACAAAAAAAAGAATGACATATTTTACTTGAAGACACGATATTAAAAACATTTTTTTTCTGTTGTAAAGTTGACTTTCCATAGAGTCAAATAATATTAAGAAATCTACACAATTTTATAACAGGGAAACAGTAACAAAGCCACACAGAACCGAGACTAATATATTGCGAATATCTAGATCATAAAACATAAAAAAAAAACACTTATTTTAATAAAAAATATTATTAAGTATACAGAACAAATTTTTCTTGATTACTGAATAAAATTAATTTTATTAATGGCTGCCATTTTATAAATAGGACCACATGATATTTTTTATTAAAATGAACATTCTAATTTCAATATTTCAATTAACAATATTTAACTATCTGTATCTGTAAGGTAGGGAAGGTGGGTTCTTCCACAGCACTACAGCACTTAAGCCTCATAAAGCCCATTGTGCATCTTCCAGTGGTAAATAGAACCTACCTCTTAACTTGCTAAAACCTGCTGGTTGTTGCTGAGAGATTGATGCATGTCCTGCAGGTTATTAACTCATCAAAAACCTGTTGGTTATTTTCATTTTAATTATTAATAAAGTCCTTATATCACTGCATATTAGATTTTGCTAAAACAACATATTATTTGTAAATAAATAAATATTATTTCTTATAATTAAGGAACTTACTATTTGTGAATAATACTTTTTTTGTTTCGTTTTATGACCTAAGTGTATATACCTATTATGCCAGTCTCAGTTTGTGTTTGTCTTCTTATTCATGTGTGTTCTGTGTAGGCTTTGTTACTGTTTCCCAGCACTTCAGTACTCTTAATTAGAACCCAACAGTGAATGGTCGAGTGGGGAATCCTACATATACATTAGAATTAATATTTAATTTGGACTTTTTATTTAAATTTTAAAATTCGATTTCTTTGCGTATTTTCAAATGTATTTTCAAATGTACAAGTAAGTATATTTTGCAAATAATTCTGACGTAAAAATTTCGTGTAGTCTCGGCTCTTGGAACTTTTGACATTCTTTGCAGGTGTTGTAACGCGAAGAGACGTTCCTTATAGCAAATTTTGGGCAAATTGCGAAAACATATCGTTCGTCTTCACCTGCAGTGTGTTTTATTAAATGGGCCGACAAAGACAGAGATAATTCTCTCAAATATTGTCATACTCATAATGTCATTTGGAAAAGCGCTGTCGCCAGATTTACCATTTAGAAGATAATTTATGGAGTCAATATAGTTATGGGTTCATTAGCTAAGGAGAGATTTTAACAATCGCTCTTGCAACCTGCTGTAAGCCTTCGTCATGCTCTTCATCAATAAATTGAAAGTGTATTAAATAAAAATTGCGCAATATGAATTTGTTGATAAATTCTGCTGTCATATCTTCATAATCAGCTGCACAGTTTTTAATTTGTTTAGCAGATAATAATAAAGCATTAGGCACGAAACCGTCTTTGCTTCCAGCGTGTACTATTATAATGCGTTTCCCTTTAGAACATGGCCCATTCAAACAGCAATTTTTACTACTGCCAACCCAACCGAAATTTACTACATCGTGACTGTCAAACCATATTTCATCTAGATAAATTATGTGTATATTAGAACTTCTGTAGCCTTTTATCTGACGCAAATAATCTTGTCGCCATTGAACTATCCTTGACGATTCGGTGATTGCCATCTGTTTATTCAATTTTTTGTGTTTAAAACCACATGCTGACAAAACTTGACGCAATGTTTCCAAACTGGTATAAGTGTATCCTGGAAAATCTGCCACCATTTGCTGTATTACTTCCAATGTCGGAACCCTGTTCTCCTTATATAAACTATAAATTGTCCTTCGTATAAAATCTTGGGTAGCTCTGTCAACTGATTTCAGTTTTTTTACATGTTTTTCGGTTTTATGAATAATCCACAGCAACCCCTTTCATGACTACCGGATAAACGGAAAATTTATTTACTTTAGTTAATTCAGCAATTATTATTATGAACGCATTATCAGACTGCTGAATATTTTCCTTTTTTAAACATTCGAATATATTTAAAATAACTTGTGTTTGTATATCTAAATCCTTATCGTTAAAGTCATACCTGTCTTTAATCTCACTACACTGTGCAATTTCATTTTCTTCATTCGCCCATGGTCTAAAGAACGCCATATTTATATTTATCATAAGAAATTTAAATTAAACCAACCACACATACAAAACACACCGCACGACAGTACTCCATTGATATCGCAGACTGTCTTCCAGGAATATTTTCCGTAAACCTTCGGCCAATACAGTGCATTTAAGTTTACGATTCAATGTTTTCATTGGTTCGTTTAATATTTACCGCTTTGTATAAGGAGAGTAAACATTATTTTTCGTTTCTTAATTTGGCATGAGTACCGTGCGTATATATTAAATATTGATGATTCCCCACATAACTGTGTTCTGCAATTGATAATGGAAAGACTATAGTTATTTAGGTATCTCCATCTATATCGAATGTAATTTTATTTATTTTAGATCTCCTTCCGTTTCTGAAACTGTAACTATACAAGGTGTTGGAAATGGAGTAGAAACAGAATCTAGTAATCCAAAACCTAAAACGAAGAAGAAAAGAAGGGCTACCACCGGAAAAACAAATAAGTATGACATATTTTCATACATATGAATAAAATTCTCTTTTCATTACACCCCTCTGAAAACAGTATCTTTACATGACTACCTATTTAGCTCACCGAAAATTGTTTTTTTCCGCGCAATCGCACGAAAATTTTTTTCCCGTGCGCTAAATGACGTCATTGCTTAGCAACACTAAACAGTGAATTATTACAGTAGTTGTCAGATTTTGTAATTGTTTTTACACATATACGCTGTTATTTATTTTCCTTAGCAACAATAAACAACGCTTATATCATTATGATTTTTTATTTTTTTGAATTTTTGTTGAACATATTTTTAAAATTATTTTTCCACTAGAAAAAATATCATTTGAAATGCCAAAAATTAGTGCAGAATTACTGCTCAAAAAATCCTGCGAGAGATATGAATAAGAGTATCATCTATTATTTTGTAAGTAGCTTCAGCCTTGTTTTTGTTCTCAGAGAGGTATAATGAAAAATATCGTTCATTACACGTCCATAAATGCTTTTCGTGTGCTTGCATGACTACCCTCCGCCTCACACGGAAAATTGTCACACTCGCACGTAAAAAGCGTATTTTCTGGACTTTTAATACGGCTATAATGAAAAACTGAACTTTTTCAACTCTGCCTGATTCGTATAATAAATTTATTAGGTACCTATCTAATTATTTAAAAAAATGTGTGTGCCATGCAATGTCAAACATTGAATAACTGTCTATAGAAGAAAACTGTCATTTTAATTTTATAAATTATGTACGCTAATTAAAAATGGGTAAGTACCTACTCAGCAAAAACTTAGTATGAATTGAGTCCTTCTAATATCAAAGAATCTGCAAACCTAGCATGCATCAATTTAGTAATAAAAATATTTGAAGTAAAATATAAAAACGCATATTTTACTGACTTATTTCTTAATATTTTTATCGTGCGAGTCATTTTCGACCAGTCAGGTCATCATCTAATCCAGTGGTCGCCAACCTGTCGATCGCGAGCTACCGGTAGCTTGCGGAGGCAATTCTGGTAGCTCTCACAACGATTTTAATTTAAAAAATACAAACTGCAAAAATCAGAGAAGCTTCCGAAAATTCTACAAAAAAATATAATTGGTGTAATATTAAACATAAACAGCGGCAACGTTGCGGTGAGCGATCTACCGCTGACGCCATCAAGCTAGAATCGGCTAGAACCGACCAGCCGGACCAGCGCGTTAGAGTTCGAGAACGATCAGGATTGCTTTGAACGGGATAAATACGCACGGCGCGGCGACATTGCGCTTAGTTTAAAATTGAACACGTAACCAACGTCCAGCGGTTGGGTTAGTAGAGAACATCAAAAAATAATATTATGGCAAGCAGTTGTAAGAAGGTAAAGACATACCACTTTCATTCGGAATGGGAAGAACAATACTTTTTTACAGAAGTTAAAGATAAAATTGTTTGTTATATAATACTTCGGTCTCCGTTGCTAAAAAAGGAAATATTGAGAGACATCATAAAACTGTACATTCTAATTTTGAAAAAGCATTCCCACTACATTCTGCCGCCAGAAAGGAGAAACTGAAACAGTTAAAAAAGCAGTTAATTGGACAACAATCAATATTTTTAAGAACAGTCGACAAAAATAAGACTGCAACTGAAGCATCGTACCGTGTGTTCCAGATAATTGCACAAAAAAAGAAACCTTATGAAGACGGGAAATGATAAAACAGGCGTTTTTAGAAGCTGCTGATTCGTTATTTGCCAACTTTAGAAATAAAGACGAGATAGTTTCAGCTATAAAATCTATGCAACTTTCTGCTAATACAGTGATGAGACGTGTAGAAGTAATGAACAATGATATTTTTTTACAGTTAAGAACTGACTTAGATAACTGTGTTTATTTTTCACTTCAACTGGATGAATCAACAGATGTCGTTGACACTGCCCAGATGGCCGTGTTCGTCAGGATGGTTTTTAGTGATTTTACAATTAAAGAAGATCTTTTGAAGTTTATTCCACTGAAAGGACACACTACTGGACAGGAGTTGTTTTCTCATTTAAAACATATTTCTTCCGAGAAAATTCCAATATCGAAAATGGTAGGCTTGACAACCGATGGCGCTCCAGCTATGGTGTGTTGTGATAAGGGTCTGATGGCGTTATGTCGTAAAGATGAAACTTTTCCGCAATTTCTCTGTTACCACTGCATTATCCATCAGCAAGCATTATGTGGAAATTTCCTGAAACTAAACAACGTTATGAAACTGGTGGTAAAAATTGTGAACAAGATTAGAGCTCAAGCGTTACAAAGAAGATTATTCAAAACCTTGGCCGATGAAGTTGACTGTCAATACGGGGACCTACTCCTTCACTCTGAAGTCCGATGGTTAAGTAGAGGACGGGTGCTGAAACGTTTTAATGATGTCCTATCTGGCATAGTTCAATTTTTCAAACAACGCGATGAACCGACTCCGGAACTAGAAAATTCAATCTGGCTTAGAGATTTTGGTTTTCTCGTGGACATTACAGAGAAATTAAACGAACTTAATTTTCAGCTTCAGGGGAGAGACAAAGAACTAGCGGAAATGATTTCTGACATAAAAGCATTTATCAAAAAGCTGGAGTTTTGGGAACAAAACCTAATTAACAGCGATGCCAAGCATTTTCCTATTCTTTCAGAAAAAATATCTCAAAATCCATTAGAACCCTATGACAGCAAATATCATGTAGAAATAGTTTCTACCCTGAAGAATAACTTCAAAAATCGTTTTAAGGATTTCAACGAAATGTCTTTAGTAGCGCAGTTTGTTGTTTCACCCTTTATGGAAATTTGTAATAATTTGGCAATTATTTTAATAATTCTAAAGATTTTACATAAAAATCTCATATAAATTTTCAAGTACATTTGACCTTAGAAATAGTAAACAGTTACTATAATATCAAAGTAAATTAAATATTTGAGTTGACCAAAAATTTCAAAGAAAGCACGTCTCAATCAATATAAAAATGATGTGGAAACGAGGGAAAAGGACAGTTACTGAGTGGGCCGGACGTTACGCTGTCCGACTACCCATCGACGCCGATAAATCGTATATCGGGAATCATAAAGTAATTTTTTTAAATTGTGATTTAATAATAAATATCAGCCAATCAATTTAAACTTAGCAAGGTAAGCCTTCCTCTTTCACTACATTAAAATTGTGACAGTTCTCTCTTTTTTTCATTTTTGCCAAGTTATTTTGTTACCTCTCATCGTAGATTTTAATAGGGAGTGATATAATTTATTTTTTTGACTTTGGTAGCTACAAGATCCAACGGGATTTCTGACATTTTTTTGCTATCTATTCTTACATTATTTATCGGTATTTTGTTATCGCCGACTGATTTACCGAATCAGGCAAGAACCTCAGGGTGGATCTTGTACCTCCAAACATATTGTATTACTTGATCGTTTCTTTTGTCTATGATTAAAATTTGTTACATGTTTAAATATATATTGAGCTAAATATATTAAGTTGTTAAACGTTCACCTGGTTTTATCTTATGTGTGCTAAGAGTTGTTGAGTTCTGCCCGAGTTCTATAAAGAGGGACAACCCCTAGTTCTGATAAGCTATCTAACAAAGTCCAGAGTTGGATAACTGAATAATTGTTTAGATGTTTTTTTTTATTCTTTAACCAAAATATATTCGATTTCATCAGGTCTACCTTTCCCTTTTGTCAAAAGACACTCCGGGCACTTTTTCGAAGTCCCGGCGAACCTACTCCCGAGTAAGGACTATAGGTGCCTATTGTCAGTTTGCCAAACCATTTCCTTAATCCGCTCGTTCTATTCATCACGGGGGAAAATTCTTTTATTTTAAACCTATTATTTTATTTTTTCTTTGTTTCTTTTTTTTTGTCACGGTGAGAGTGAATAAGCTCTAAGGACCTTATCCCCTGACTGTGGCTGGTGACAGGCTGCCTTTACACTTACAGTGTACACCCCCCGTTGATGACTAGAGTCCTTTTGGCCACTACATTATTATTTAGTGACAACAGTTACTTCCTAAGTGACGGTGGTTGTTACAAATTGATATCCAACAGTTTGCAACTTGTGTTATGCAGAACTTTAGCGAAGACATCGCTGCAACAGAAATGGAAGTAATTGAGTTTCAAAATAATTTAGCCTTAAAATCGTTAGTCTCAAGTACCAAATGTATCTGGCCTATTGTAAGTAAAGACAAATATTCAGTTCTATGCCGTGTTGCCTTGAAAGTGAAAGCATTATTCAGTTCAACCTATTTGTGTGAATCTTCTTTTTCCAATATGAAGTTTAATAAGAACAAATATCGCAATCGACTTACAGATGAACATTTGGATAATTGTATTCGAATGGCTGTATCAAATTATACTGCAAACATTAAAAAAATTATCAATGAGTCTGAGTGTCAGCCTTCTCATTGAACGTGCTTTTTTATTTTTCAATGTTTATGTTCATGATAGTGCGTTACTTTTTTGTTGTTATTATTAACTATTTTTAAATCTTACGTGACATGCCGTTGTGGCTGGATAAAAGTTTGTGTTTATTTTTCAAACACCTTCGTTTGGTAGGTAGGAATGTAGCTATGAACAAGTACGTACTAGTAATATTAGTTCTGTTATTAGTTTATTATTAGTACCTATGTATTATGTATTACCAGTTAAATAGTAAAATAAATACATATAATGAAAAATTAACTGTGGATTATTTCATTTACGTTGCGTTACGTGGCTTCCGTGTGGGTAGCTCACTGTTTATTCCAAAATTAATAAAGTAGCTCAACACATTGAGAGGTTGGCGACCATTGATCTAATCCTTTAAGTCCCTGTCTGTCTTATTTCGACCACCATTTGTCCGATTACCAAAAATATTTAAAAAAATAAGTCAACCCCAGAAACCCAACTGAATGTTCCGACCGTGGTAAATGAGACTTTTATGGACAAATTCGATTAACAGTATAGAACACAGTAGTGATACTAAATTGCAACTTTTGGTGAAGGTACCATTATAAATATTATAAATGGAAGAGGAATTTGGTGAAGTTGTCGAGAACCTTCGCCTATTTATACAGGGTGTTTAATTGGGAATGGAAAATATTTTAACTCTACATAGAAGTCACTTGCAACCTTTATAACTGAGTTTTGAGTTTTGAATTTGGCGTATTTCTTCCGTGCTTCATAACTTTTGAATCACCCAGTATACTTTTTTGATATTTGGCATAGATAATCTATATCTACAGGACAATTTATCGACATATTAAAAAATTTCAAAATCCAGGTCCGGCGTAACAAAAATTATTAAAATTTTACCCACCCTAAAACAATACCCTATACATCAAATTTTTAAAAATTGAATTTCAAATTTAGAAAGACCATAAAAAACTGAATACATTCATCTATTTTGCATTTTTCCGCACTACCAAAATTTTAACGTTAAAATGTAGGTACATTTTGAGAATTTTAGTCTATGCAAAATGTACTTGAAGGTGTTTTAATTATTTTTTCTTCACAAAAATTAATTTAACTTAACTTTTTCATGGAAATTCCTAAAACAAACTTATTGAATTTGAAGTAAAATTCACAAAAACCAATAAAATTACAATTACAGATCCGTATGACGTACTTGTAATGGCATCTTCTCTATCCAAGCAAACTTCTACCTAGTAATTTTTTGTAGGGTAACGCCATCTGATCAACGACAATGTAAATCAGCAAAAGATAAACAGGAATTGGAATCCGATGAACTTTCTTCTCCAGACCCTCTGGAGCCATGGAGTACAAAGAAAATTGCAAACATGAATAAGATATTGGCTTGGCAAAACGAACAAGATAGTTTATAAGAAAAAACTAGGCATAAGAAAAATTATTAGTACATTATTTTAATTGACATAAAAAAAACTATATTTTTGTGAAAAATAATATGTTTTCTTGGTTTTTTAGTTGTTATAATATATCGGAGACGTGTATTTTTCTTATAAAGGGGTGGCGCGATATACGACCTACTAGAGCTCTCGTTAATTAATCAAATTTGATATAAGAACGTGAATTCTTTAAGGGCTTAGTTTCAGAGATATAGTGTTGAAATTTAAAAATTAATAATAAAGATATATCAAAAATTTATACATTTTTCAATCGTAGTATCTACATAATTGGCTCTTTAAGAAAGGAGCGTTAATCTATTAACAAAACCATAGTCATCCCAAAAATTAAAATGATGTAAAATTCTATATTTTAAAAATCTTCGATATCCTCTAGAATCTGATTGCAAAATATCAATTTAAAAAAATATTCCCATTTTTTTTTATTTTTAACAATGATAATCGTCACTTTATACTTTCTGCAGGATTGCGTTTAGAAACCTCTTCTGGACCGCATGCTCATAATAGGATCCAGACGCGCCGTGAGACCCAGACAACACACCAAATCCCAGAAATGTCCACAGAATATCTTTTGTGGATATCCAATATATCCCCAGGATATCATAGATATCCCGTGGATCTAATATGGATATCCAAATGTCCGTTTATATCCAGGATATAGAAGATATCCTATGGATATCCAGCAAAATATATAATTGTTATCTCCCAGATAATACACGAAATCCCAGAGATATTTACAGAATATCTTTTGTGGATATCCAATATATCCACAGGATATCATAGATATCCAGTGAATCTAATATGGATATTCAAATGTCCGTCTATATCCAGGATACAGAAGATATTCTATGGATATCCATTAAAATATCTAATGGGTACCTTTAGTAGAGGCTCTGTAATGTTCTCTATTAAACCTCAAAATTTATAAATACTCAATAACCTAAACTTACCTCGGCTAGCTTTCTTTTTTATATATTTTATCACTTTCTTTTATATAGAGCAGATTCTCTTTCTCTGAGTGGTGTCGGTTCAAGAAGTATTATATTTTATAAACTTTATTTTTATTTTTTTATTTAATTAAATTTAGTTTATTTTAGTTTATTTTAGTTTATTTTAGTTTATTTTAGTTTATTTTAGTTTATTTTAGTTTATTTTAGTTTATTTTAGTTTATTTTAGTTTATTTTAGTTTATTTTAGTTTATTTTAGTTTATTTTAGTTTATTTTAGTTTATTTTAGTTTATTTTAGTTTATTTTAGTTTATTTTAGTTTATTTTAGTTTATTTTAGTTTATTTTAGTTTATTTTAGTTTATTTTAGTTTATTTTAGTTTATTTTAGTTTATTTTAGTTTATTTTAGTTTATTTTAGTTTATTTTAGTTTATTTTAGTTTATTTTAGTTTATTTTAGTTTATTTTAGTTTAATTAGTTATTATAGAAAAATGATTCCTATATTTATGATATCAAGCAATTAGATACTTAAATAAACAAAACTCTTACAAAATCAAATTTGTGTTTAATTTTAACAAAATAAGTATCTGCGAATTTCACAAATAGCAGGTCTTTTATTACCTGTTATATCTGAACATTTAAAAGAAACTATTAACTATTCTACTACTACACCTACTAAACTTAATTAACAAAAAAATAACTCTTGTTAAAGAAAAATTTCCAAGTCTAACAATTGTTATTTTTAGATTTGGCTATAACTTAGCCATTTATATAGATTTATTAAAATTTTAACTATAACTATTATTACAAATTTTCAGTTTTTAAAGAACAACTTGAATGAATATCTATTCCTCACTATAAACTATAATTACACAAAAATATAAATGTTTTTATAAATACCGTGTTCACATCACTGCTGTGTCCATGTCTCTTTCAATCGCCTATAAACTTTTTAAACTTTGCTCTTCTTTTCCTCCTCTAATATTTCTTCTGATATGTATTTCCTTTTTACAATGGATCGTTAACAGTTTGTTTATTTAAGTTTCTTGTACTCGTATATCTTTATATTATAATTTTATTCATAAATTTTCCTTGACATTTTTTAAAAATTTTAAAATTCATCAACCTTCAAACTGACTTTTTTCTAACAACTTTTTTTTATCTAGAAACCATTTTTTCTATCTCTTAGTCTGCTTCTCTTAAGACTTCTTACATTATTTTTATAATACAGGGTTATCAAAAACTTTTTACATTATTTTTATTTATTACTATTATTATTATTATTATTAGTTTTTTTTTTCATTATTTTAGAACACAGGGTGTTTATATAACATATCAGCTCATAAGTAACCAATGGATATATCCTATAGATGTTTAATATATCCGGTGTACATCCATTTTGTGATATATTTAAGATATCGAAAATTATATGCCTATAGGGTGTCGTATTTAAAGCTTAATTAATTTTTTTTTTTTTTGAAAGATAAGTGGAACAATCTACTGCATAATCTAAAAACATTCCATATGAAGAAAATCAGCATTTCAGTAGCATAACATCGGAACGCCCTGTATTTTAAATTTGGTATATAAACCATTTACTATTCTAGTGTTGCTACACAGCATGGTATAGCATGTAGAGTCGAAAGAGTATCAACATTTTATTTCTACAATTAAATACTGTACACCATATCTAAAAAACCACCAAAATATCATTGAATATGTGAAGTAAGTTTTAAATTGAATGCAACGCAAGAGTTATCTCAACATATAAGCATCTTACAAATAAATCTTATTCTTTATTGTTGTTATATTAAGTATATTTAGGTAATACAAAGACAAATATTATGAGCAGGCTAAATATATTTAAAAAAGTAAACTATAGCATAAACATACTATTATATTAAATAACATATTATATTTAAGCTGACGAATGAACATAGTACCCGCAGCCAAGGAAAACCTAAAACTAATCACACATACACACATATTAATATTATATATTGGCGCCGCAATTTCAACTGGAATTTTCTTCCTAAAAAAAAAGACGCTCTGTTGTAGAATTCCCCAAAAAGTGAACTTATATTTTAAATCAAGCTATACCCAAAACGAAAATGAAGTCTGAAAAAAGCCTTTTGTGCAGAGTGTCACTTATACAATATATAACAATAACTAATAATTTAAAAGGGCTGGATCTGTGTATATATTATACTTATTTATCTAAACTGTTGGTCCAGCTAAACATAACCTAACCTTACTTGTTAAATTATTCATACATGCTATTGAATACAAGGCAGATGTAATAAGAATACATATTTCTAATTAATTATAACAACCATTAAACAATAAAAACCAAACCGAAACAATAATAATCATACGACATAAGTAGGTATATGACGGTAGGTAAGTAACATCCATCTTAATTATAATAAAATAGGGTATCGTAAAAACGACATCAATTTCTAGTTGTGAATTACCTAAAAAGGACAAGGATTTTAACGTACATTGCATACAACCTACTTAACCATCTTAATAATGTGAATTTTCTTATTTAACTAAAGTCTATCAACCTTTTATACTAATAAATTTAGATTTTAAAGCTTACTTACCTCCTTTTAATCCAAAATTTTCAATTGAAACTCATGCACCCGACACAAACAAAACGAAAACAAACTATAAAATGGCCGATGGCACCTGTGAGGGCAGACTATATCCGCGCCTGCCCTCGCGTTCATTGCCAATATTATTTATCTAGCGGATATTTGTAGGATATTGTATACAACTTACTAATTTTAAATTTTTATAAACCATACCTACATACTTTCTTAGTTATCACATGGCGTAATATTTAAGTAATTTAATAATTATTAAATCAATTCATATATTTTCCGATATTTAGGTACATCTATTGGATATCCACCATGGTATACGTTCCCACCTAGACTTTGATATATTTAGTTGATATTCATGGGATATTGAATACACCTAAAAAAAATTAATTTTAAATATCTAAACGGTACTATTAGCCACAATAGCGTAATTTTTTAATAATTTGTTATATAATTACTATTATTTATGGTCATTTGCATGTCTATAAATTACATCTAATAGATGTAAAATAGATATCCACCATGGTATTTGGTGTGCTGTCTGGGGAGGTTTTTGAAGTTATTCACTGTTTAAAATCTTTTTTTATCTCTTAAGATTGTATGACTACGAACATTCAGTACATTCACCTATTTTGCCGATTTTGCCGATTTTGTCGATTTTGTCGATTTTGTCGATTTTGTCGATTTTGTCGATTTTGTCGATTTTGTCGATTTTGTCGATTTTGTCGATTTTGCTCATTTTTTACATTTACAGTTTAAAATCTTAACAAGCGAGATTTAAAATTGCACTTTTTATTCTAACAGGAAGATAACCTTAACTGTCACTTTATCAGGACCAGGACATTAAGAATTCCGGTCTAAAGGGTTCATGTTCAAATTTTATGAACTAACGAGAGCTCGCAGCTGTAAAACTATAAATCCAGGTAAATAGGAATCTTTAATGGAAAAAATGTAAACATTTATTGTAATTTATCGTCCTGAGGGATGGTTTTTTATTTTGCAAAACTTTTCTGGATAATAATAATATTAATAAATAATACAATGTTTTTGTTTTAACTCAGTCCAGTTTTATTTAGATTTGTTAAGAGTATATCTACCTACTAATATACATTACCTATTTAGGAAATGAATTTGGCTAGGTGGGAGCTAAACTGGTCTAAAGAGAAAATAATATTTTGGAGAAAAAGCAAGAAATGTTTACCTTTGTATCAAAATTGAAGTGACAGAATGCGATTTTCCCCATGTTAAAATGATAATGTAACTTTTCGAGATATATCTCTTTAGCACTGACACATTGACACTAGCTGAGTATAAACATGTCATTATCTTTATTGCAATAAAAATGTAACTTGGACCAGTTTAGCTTCTATCTAGCCATTTGGTTAAGCCAGTTTTATATTGAGAACAATCAAGTACAATTTTACAATGTTAGAGACACATGCATAATGTTCATATCTATGTACAATTGTTATATTTTTCATACTCTATTTTATTTATGTTGTGTATTATTAAAAAATATACGTTTTGATTTTAAAATATGTCCTTTTTTTCCTAATACAGCTGTCA